CCATTCCTGCACCAACAAGTGTCTCACTCTTACTGCAAGCCGACAAATAAGGGCATGAGGCAGAGTATAAAAATACACGTTTGAACGAGTGGCGGAAAAATGCCGATAAAAATACGCATTTAAACGAGTGATGGGAAAATGTCGATAAAAATATGCGTTTGAACGAGTGGCGGGAAAATGTCAATAACAATACGCGTTTGAACGAGTGGCGGGAAAATGTAGATAAAAATACGCGTTTGAACGAGTGGTGGGAAAATGTTGATAAAAATACGCGTTTGAACGAGTGGCGGGAAAATGTCAATAACAATACGCGTTTGAACGAGTGGCAGGAAAATGTCAATAACAATACACGTTTGAACGAGTGGCGGGAAAATGTCAATAACAATACACGTTTGAACGAGTGGCGGGAAAATGTCAATAACAATACGCGTTTGAACGAGTGGCGGGAAAATGTAGATAAAAATACGCGTTTGAACGAGTGGCAGGAAAATGTCAATAACAATACGCGTTTGAACGAGTGGTGGGAAAATGTCAATAACAATACGCGTTTGAACGAGTGGCGGGAAAATGTCAATAACAATGCGCGTTTGATCGAGTGGCGGGAAAATGTCGATCAGGGACCCCGGGGCGTCGACCTGTGAATAATTACATGGCGCCGCCGCTTCTCTTTTACACAGAGACTCTCAGTTCTGTTTCCCTTACCTTACTTATTGTGGCGGCTTACTTACAACATCTGGCGGTGGAGGTGGTGGTAACACTGTAACTGGCGGTGGTAACACTGTAACTGGTGGTGGTAACACTGTAACTGGTGGTGGTAACACTAACTGGTGGTGGTAACACTGTAACTGGTGGTGGTAACACTGTAACTGGTGGTGGTAACACTTTAACTGGTGGTGGTAACACTGTAACTGGTGGTGGTAACACTGTAACTGGTGGTGGTAACACTGTAACTGGCGGTGGTAACACTGTAACTGGTGGTGGTAACACTGTAACTGGAGGTGGTAATACTGTAACTGGTGGTGGTAACACTTTAACTGGCGGTGGTAACACTGTAACTGGTGGTGGTAACACTGTAACTGGCAGTGGTAACACTGTAACTGGTGGTGGTAACACTTTAACTGGCGGTGGTAACACTGTAACTGGTGGTGGTAACACTTTAACTGGTGGTGGTAACACTGTAACTGGTGGTGGTAACACTTTAACTGGCGGTGGTAACACTGTAACTGGTGGTGGTAACACTTTAACTGGCGGTGGTAACACTGTAACTGGCGGTGGTAACACTGTAACTGGTGGTGGTAACACTTTAACTGGCGGTGGTAACACTGTAACTGGTGGTGGTAACACTTTAACTGGCGGTGGTAACACTGTAACTGGTGGTGGTAACACTTTAACTGGTGGTGGTAACACTTTAACTGGTGGTGGTAACACTGTAACTGGTGGTGGTAACACTGTAACTGGTGGTGGTAACACTTTAACTGGTGGTGGTAACACTTTAACTGGTGGTGGTGGTAACACTAACTGGTGGTGGTAACACTTTAACTGGTGGTGGTAACACTGTAACTGGTGGTGGTAACACTGTAACTGGTGGTGGTAACACTTTAACTGGTGGTGGTGGTAACACTAACTGGTGGTGGTAACACTTTAACTGGTGGTGGTAACACTTTAACTGGTGGTGGTAACACTGTAACTGGTGATGGTAACACTGTAACTGGTGGCGGTAACACTTTAACTGGCGGTGGTAACACTTTAACTGGCGGTGGTGGTAACACTTTAACTGGCGGTGGTAACACTTTAACTGGTGGTGGTAACACTGTAACTGGTGGTGGTAACACTTTAACTGGTGGTGATAACACTTTAACTGGCGGTGGTAACACTAACTGCTGGTGGTAACACTTTAACTGGTGGTGGTAACACTTTAACTGGTGGTGGTGGTAACACTAACTGGTGGTGGTAACACTTTAACTGGTGGTGATAACACTTTAACTGGCGGTGGTAACACTAACTGCTGGTGGTAACACTTTAACTGGTGGTGGTAACACTTTAACTGGTGGTGGTAACACTGTAACTGGTGGTGGTAACACTGTAACTGGTGGCGGTAACACTTTAACTGGCGGTGGTAACACTTTAACTGGCGGTGGTAACACTGTAACTGGCAATGGTAACACTGTAACTGGTGGTGGTAAGACTGTAACTGGTGGTGGTGGTGGTAACACTTCAAATGGTGGTGGTGGTGGTGGTAACACTTCAAATGGTGGTGATTGTAACACCTCAGCTGGTGATGGTAACACCTCAGCTGGTGGTGGTGATCGTAACACTTCAAATGGTGGTGGTGGTGGTGATGGTGGTAACACTAACTTGTGGTGCTTAACCATCAGCTTACCTACAGTGACCATGGGGGGAATAATAATAATAATAATAATAATAATAATAATAATAATAATAATAATAATAATAATACACAGAGAAATCACATTAACATGATAGAGCATATACAAAGACCAAATCGACAGGAGCCATATGAAGGGTTCGAACCTAAGCGCCGAGTGTTCCCCAGACACGCTCTAGCCAAGCGGTAGTACGACTGGTTGACAGAGCCCGAGTGCATGGGGGTGATTGTGTGAAACCTCGGTTAGGCTTCAGTGGAAGCCACGGATTCCTGCTGGGTACAGTAGCACTCCAGGTTGCAATTCTTTTGACCATGTCGTGGTATAGTTGACTAGAGCGCACCTGGGAACACTCAGTGCATAGGTTCGAACCCTCATCAAGGCTCCTGTGGATTTGTTCTTTGTATATATCACGTTAATGTGATTTCACTGTGTATTATTATTATTATTATTATTACTATATTATTATTATTATTACTATATTATTATCATTATTACTGTATTATTATTAGTATTACTATTACTGTATTATTATTATTATTATTATTTCCCCATGGTCACTGTATGTAAGCTAATAGTTAAGCACCACAAGTTAGTGTTACCACAATCACCATTATCACCACCATCACCAACAGCTGAGGAGTTACCATCACCATGGGAGCCGGTCGGCCGAGCGGACAGCACGCTGGACTTGTGATCCTGTGGTCCTGGGTTCGACCCCAGGCGCCGGCGAGAAACAATGGGCAAAGTTTCTTTCATCCTATGCCCCTGTTACCTAGCAGTTAAAATAGGTACCTGGGTGTTAGTCAGCTGTCATGGGCTGCTTCCTGGGGGTGGAGGCCTGGTCGAGGACCAGGCCGCGGGGACACTAAAAAGCCCCGAAATCATCTCAAGATAACCTCAAGATAACCACCAGCGACTAGAGTACTGTAGATTACAACAATTCAGGTCCCATTTGAGATTTTCTGCATTATTCTTAACACTGGATTCATAATACAGTATTTTAAAATCCCACATATTTGAGTATCTACCCAGCTGCCATAAATGAATTGTAGCCTTCAAAATTTGCCCAGAACATGACGCATAACTTTCAGTGATCACTTCAGCTGTGATCGGTGAAATGCATTAGTGACAGGATGTTTCCAACCACTATATACAGTTAATGTTATATTGATTATAAGGAATAGTTGATTTATTATTAAGTATTATTTAAAAATCAATAAATAATGATGAGTTTGTAAAGTGTATAAATGCAACAAATCAATGGAAGGCACTGATAATTCTCCAACAGCTATTACACTTTATGCTACACGCTCATTTGATTAAAACCCCACAGATTTTCAGATCAACTTTCCAGCTGAAGTTCCATAACATTTGACCTACCCCATGTATAACATCATAGATTTCAAATTTTAACAAGTAAAATCTTTCTTTATAATATAAAAACCACAATTTACAAAAAAAAAAAAAAAATCTTTACATATATAAACAATCACTTACAGCATGTGCACTCAGAAGAAGCTGAAGTCAAGACAGATGCACATGTCAGAGTCGAGACGTATGCAAGTGTGCGCAGATCACTGGCAAGATGTTCACAAATCCTCTTTATAAGGTCAACAACATGTATTTCATTTTTTAACTTTTATTGCAGTTTATAATATATTTTTGATTGTTTCATTTTTTTCACGTACAATACCTGTACAGTTTATATTTGTAAGCATAGTGGTAAAGTGTTCAGTGATGCGACTTGGATATGTAAGAGAAACCTACATACTATACTGTATTCTTATGTACTGACCATTCTATGTAACAATTAACAACTATTTATTCTGAATAGTAAACCATAAACCAGAGAATTATTGTTGCATAAATTAATGACTCCTTACCTCTATTATAATAAATTTTGCTGCATTTCCCATTTAAGTCATTTTGTCGTTACGTTCTTAGTAACTTCTGTGACAAGTACTTTTGGTTATGATGCATTTCCTTCACCAAATGTATTATCAGTTTAAAGTATAACATGAGACCAAATTTTTAAAAATTACCCCAACAAAAACAATATTTTACATCAAATTACCATAATCTTCATAAATCAATAAGAAAAAATACGAGGTTGCTTACTCAGCCAGAATTAGTGACCTGCTACAACTTTTTACCTTCATTTCAGGTATTTGATGACCAAAACATCAATGCTACAGTACATCAACTTCATTGTAGACAGTTGCCGTTTTAATTTTTAGCTCAACCTGAAAATTTCCTGAAACTACAGCTCGGCCTCCACAGTTCCCAACCGAGGGACCCGGGTTCAATCCCTGGGAAGAGAAGAAATGGATCAGCAAGCTTCCTTTCACCTACCTTGAGGTTACCTTGAGGTGCTTCCGGGGCTTAGCGTCCCCGCGGCCCGGTCGTCGACCAGGGCTCCTGGTTGCCAGACTGATCAACCAGGCTGTTGGACGCGGCTGCTCGCAGCCTGACGTATGAGTCACAGCCTGGTTGATCAGGTATCCTTTGGAGGTGCTTATCCAGTTCTCTCTTGAACACTGTGAGGGGTCGGCCAGTTATGTCCCTTATGTGTAGCAGAAGCGTGTTGAACAGTCTCGGGCCTCTGATGTTGATAGTTCTCTCTTGAACACTGTGAGGGGTCGGCCAGTTATGTCCCTTATGTGTAGCGGAAGCGTGTTGAACAGTCTCGGGCCTCTGATGTTGATAGAGTTCTCTCTCGGAGTCCCTGTTGCCTAACAGTCAATAGATACCCAGAAGCTAGGCATCCTGGGGAAGGTTGGTAGTTGGACCAGGATGACCTCAAGAAGCCTAAGTACAGGCCTTCTCACTTGTGTAAAGGAGGAATGTATATATTTATCTCTCAGAATGTTCAGTAATATGTTTATTGTTTGTGATGTGTGTCTATGTATGTACAGTATTAACACGATGTACTGAACGGGGTGAGAATAGCTTGAGCTACCTCATCCCTTTGTGTGTATTTTACCTCAATAAACTTATTTCAATTTCAATTCAATTTCAGGCCTTCTATCACCAACAACTGGAATCATCATAATACAATATTATACTGTTCATAATTCTGAAGAAAATGCAGCCATAAACTTTACATACAAACATTGCTTAAGCAAATCTTGAGCACTCGCCAGGTGATTCCCGAGCCTCTTTTCTGATAAGCATTTTATACTATACTAATAAATATTGATAATACCTCTGACATTGATGCAAAGAGTTAAAATACACCTAACCAAACCAATGTCTAATATGAACAAAACCTAAGTATAACACCTAACAAGGCCTATGTACTATATGTACTGCAAATTTTAGTACATACTACACCCAAAGACATGCGCTTCTTAGATGCATTAATATATCAGTTGTCTATGATTTTCCACTGAATCACACTTGTACACATTATCAGAACTGGCTGCATTTATACAATGAATATGAGAACAATAAATTTGTTACCAAGTGAATTGATAGTCCAAATCACTGAGCACTTTGGAGCTTTAATAGTATAAAAACCTGTGAGAGTAACTGTCTATCCAAAGAAAACGACATCTGTATTGTAATTTTCCAGTACAAAGTAGCCTATTTTTATACTGTATTTATATTTTCACAGCAAATAATTTTCCTGCTCTCTTAAATTAAAGTACCTGATGACCAGACCACACACTAGAAAGTGAAGGGACGACGACGTTTCGGTCCGTCCTGGACCATTCTCAAGTCAATTGTCGACTTGATAGTACAAATAGTACCATTAGGACCATTCTCAATCGACTTGAGAATGGTCCAGGACGGACCAAAAAGTCGTCGTCCCTTCACCTTCTAGTGTGTGGTCTGGTCAACATACTTAAGCCACGTTATTGTGACTCATCGCCTGCTTAAAGTACCTGATATAGCAAATATAAGGCAGTATTTAAAATATATAAATATATACAGTACCATACATCAATAATTAATGAAGATATAAAATTAATGGGATTGTGCTATGTCTGAAAAGTAGTTTAGAATATCATCAATAGAAAACTCAAGGTTGATCATAGCTCCCGGATAGCAGCGGTGAATAAGATCTTCTATCAGCTTGTACTGCCGGATGAACTCCTCTTGCATGGCACGCCACACAACCTATCAAACAAAGAATAGAATAATTACTGTATGTCGGCACATCTTGGTGACAGTTTACCATATCCCAATCAATAAGCCTATAAAATTAACAAATGTGTACGTACGTATACATACACGCACATTGAGCTCAACATTCCACTTCAATTCATTTTTCTGTCACCTTTGTGTACATGAACCTTGGCAGATATATGGAAAAACGCAACCACATTCCAATCTACAAAAATGCAAACATCCTCTTAACTATAGACCTGTATCATTCACAAGTGTAGTAGTCAAAACATTACAAAAAATAATTGAAACCAAATGAGTAGAACACTTGGAGAGAAATGATATACATGTACTGTAATAACAGATGGAATGCTTTCCAACAGGAAGATCCTGTGTAACAAATCTATTTAGTTTATATGACAAGAGCCACAGAGATTTTACAGGAAAGATGTCCGAGTTGACTGCATTTATTTGGACCTTAAAAAGGCTTTCGACAGAGTTCCACATAAAACACTGTTCTGGAAACTGGAATATACTAAACGGGTCACAGGGAGCACCACTCCATAAAGGAGGAAATAAGGCAGAGGCAAAAAATTACAAACCGATAGCACTAACATCGCACATCATAAAAATTTTTGAGAGAGTGCTAAGAAGTAAGATCACAAAATACATGGAATCACAGCATCTCCATAACCCCGGACAACATGGTTTCAGAACAAGGCGCTCTTGCCTGTCGCAGTTGCTGGACCACTATGATATGGCATTAGATGCTATGGAAGACAAACACAACGCTGATGTAATTTACACAGATTTCGCAAAAGCTTTTGATAAATGTGACCATGGTGTTATTGCATATAAAATGCGTTCAAAAGGAATTACCGGGAAAATAGACAGATGGATCTACAATTTCCTGACTAACAGAACCCAACGTGTAATAGTCAACAAAATAAAACCCAGCCCATCAACTGTGAAGAGCTCAGTCCCCCAGGGTACTGTGCTTGCTCCAGTACTTTTTCTCATCCTCATATCGGACATAGACAAGAACACAACCTATAGCACTGTATCATCCTTTGCAGATGACACTAGGATTTCATGAGAGTTGGCAACATAGAGGACACGGCAAACCTCCAATCAGATGTAGATCAGGTCTTTCTAAGGGCTACAGAAAATAATATGATGTTTAACCAGGATAAGTTCCAGCTCATGCGCTACGGAAAAAATGAAAAATATAAAAACGGAAACCACGTACAAAACTCAGGCAAATCATAACAAGGAACGAAAAGGCAATGTAAAGGATCTGGGTGTACTCTTGTCGGAAGACCTTACCTTTAAAGAACACAATAAAGTAGCCGTCACAACTGCAAGAAAAAGGACAGGTTGGATAACAAGAACTTTTCACACTAGAGATGCTATACCGATGATGATACTTTTCAAAACGCTTGTGCTCTCTAGAGTGGAGTACTGCTGCACAATGACAGCCCCTTTCAAAGCTGGAGAAATTGCTGACCTGGAGAGCGTGCAGAGATCCTTTACTGCTAGAATCCACTCAGTAAAACATCTAAATTATTGGGACCGACTAAAGAGCCTAAATCTGTACTCCTTTGAGCGCAGGCGGGAGAGATACATAATAATTTACACGTGGAAAATAATTGAGGGGCTGGTCCCAAACCTGCACACAGAAATAACATCACATGAGACCAGAAGACATGGCAGGATATGCAGCATACCCCCGTTGAAAAGCAGAGGTGCAACAGGTACTCTGAGAGAGAACTCTATCAACATCAGAGGCCCGAGACTGTACAACACGCTTCCACTACACATAAGGGGCATAACTGGCCGACCCCTCACAGTGTTCAAGAGAGAACTGGATAAGCACCTCTAAAGGATACCTGATCAACCAGGCTGTGACTCATATGTCAGGCTGCGAGCAGCCGCGTCTAACAGCCTGGTTGATCAGTCCAGCAACCAGGAGGCCTGGTTGATCAGTCCAGCAACCAGGAGGCCTGGTCGACAACCGGGCCGCGGGGACACTAAGCCCCAGAAGCACCTCAAGGTAACCTCAAGGTAAGGGAGTGTTTTGACATGGATCAAAAATTTTCTGACAGAAAAATGAAAGCACTAATCAGAGGCAATATATCAGATTGGAGAAATGATACTGGTGCAGTACAACAGGGGTTCAATTCTAGCACCAGTAATGTTCATTGTCTATATAAATAATCTTCCAGAAGGAATACAGAATTATATGAACATGTTTGTGGATGATACTACGCTACTAGGAAAGATAAGAAACTTAGATGAATGCCATTCCCTTCAAGAAGACCAAGAAGACCTAGACAAAATAAGTGTTAAGGAGTAAAACTTGGCAAATGGAATTTAATGTGAATAAATGCCACATTATGACATTATAGAATGAATGTGGTATAGGAGAAAATTAGCCACACAAAGATCTAGGGGTGGTTCTGGATAGAAAATTGTTACCTGACGACCACATAAAGAACATTGTGCAAGGAGTCTATGCAACACTTCCCAACTTCTGAATTGTTTTTAAGTACAAGGACGGCAAAAAATTCAAGAAATTGTTCATGACTTTTGTGAGACCAAAATTGGAGTTTTCAGCAGTTGTATGGTGCCCATATCTCAAGAAGCACATTAGTAAACAGGAAAAGATGTAAAGACATCCAGAGCCAGAAAAGGTTCTGGGTCTGGTCCCCGGTGGACAAGAACTCCATCGACTAATGCCACAGTCTAATACATACATATCAGGCAAGTAAGCTCTGGGGAGCCGAAGGGGCTCCCCCACAGAAAAGGCAGTTAAATAAGAACTGAAAATGCTATGAATAGTGAGGTTGTGTTTTAAAACAACGTAAGAAAACTTGCCTGAAGTAAGTTTCCCTCCTCAGAAAGGTGCTTCTCCACCTTCTTGTACAGCTGCTCCAATCCTCGCTTCACCTCTTTTCCAGGATATTCTCTACCAAATTGGAAAGTGTGCAAAGATATTAGTTATTATTCAACAGGGTGGTCTGGCTATCTTGCTGAAACTAATAATAATAATAATAATAATAATAATAATAATAATAATAATAATAATAATAATAATAATAATAATAATAATAATAATACTAGTATGAACAAATCCACAGGAGCCGTGATGAGGGTTCGAACCTATGCTATGGACGCTCTAGTCACATTGCTCTAGTCGCTCTACCATGCACATTGATAATTCATGTTAATGTGATTTCCTCTGTGTAATAATAATAATAATAATAATAACAATAATATTTTATTTATAAAAAAATAAAATGGATCAGATTACAGTGGTTACTTAGTAGGTACAGTATTTGTAAATTTTATGAGGCCACTATTTATTGCAGGGTTTTGGTCATAATGTAACGTGTGTATCGAGTTTTAAATTTTTGAGGTACTGCACTGTAATTGGACATAGCACACATTTTGCCTAAAATATATAATGGTATTCACTCACTTGATGTTGTTAAAATTACAGTGGCTCATAGTATGACTGCCCTACATATTCCTAAGGCCATGACTTAGGAATGTTTTGCAGGCTTTAGTAATCTAGGCTACGTTACTAACCCCATGGAAGGGAAGTGAGAGATTCGGGATGTTTTTTCAAGATGCAAGATAGTTACTGGAGGCCTGATCAAGCAAATACGAGTCCGCCTTGTATGCATGGGAGTTTCTAATCTTATGATATACTAACATAATCACATGTCGGCTGGCGCACCAGCACACCCCTTAATATGTCGACTGGTGCAGTACAAGGGTTAAGGTAGGAAACCCAGTGTTGGTGAGGCTGCCACCTGGTGGCAGTCAGAAGCAGTGGCCAACAGGGCCAACTGGAGGTAAGTGAGAGCACTATTTGTCGGTCCATGTCATGCTGCCCGAGCACCAGACTGATCCAACCGAGATGTTTAAGATCCCTGTTGTGCCATGTTAGACGGTCACCGTGCCTTGACTGTTATAACCTTGTCCATGAGGACCAGAAAGGATCTTACCATAGGAAGTATAAAGCATGATAGCTAGGAAAACTGGGGTTCAAGATAAATTAGTTAATGTAGAGGTTTACTATATATTTTAACTCACTTGATAACTTTTCTTAGTTCTTGTTTACTGAATGCCAATTGATAGCCAACTTCTGACTCCTTAACTCCACTGGCAACCTTGGCTGTCACTCCATCAAAGAATAGCTGTAGGCAATGGAAATCATCAGTATATATATTTCACCAATCACTGATCACTCATAATTACCGGTACAGCAATTTAAATTAATTTAAAAAGCATTATTTCAAATGAAAGCTAACTGAGGCAAATATTGTAGGAACATTGCTCTCCAACATACATTGAGCTTCTCAAGAGGTCTGCCAAAATACTGTGTAACGTATGCAGCAAGTGCTTCTTGATAACGCTGCTTAGCTTCTCTCTTCTGTGTTTCCATCCCTGGAAGCTTGAGCTGGAACATCAGCTGGTGCAGTACATGATAGTTCTCTGGCAAAAAAATATATATATATTTTGAGAGGATACGTGTGGTTGTGAGTATGAAAGGCTTACGTATGTACTGGTTAATTTTGCATAACATTCTCTCATATTCGTGGTTTGCCCATGTAGCATAACATCTTTAAATTTGCCTACCAGCACCTGGACAGGTAGAGGCAGAGTGTTGGAGACTTCACAACAGTCTTACTCAACCTTGGTGTACCCAGCACCGAGTCAGGTACAGTATTCTCACTAGTACCACCGAGTATAATATATGTGTCTGTTAATTACACCACTGAGATAATTATGTGTTAGGCATACAAAATTCAATACCCAAGTATCCTGACTGGAACTCCAGTAATCTTTTGTAATCACAGAAGTGAAAGTGAGCAGTATAGTGAATAAAGTCATCAGTGCTAAATTATGACAGGCTGCCCCTGGAGAGTGCCGAGTACTATTCAGTGACTAATACATGTCACTGTGATTAATTTTGTATGATGCTTCATCGAGAAAGAGAAAACCCCAACCATGTGTGTAGAATTAAGTCTTAAACAAATAGATGCATTAATGAACCTGGTGGTGTATATGAACCCTTCTCCCTCAAATCAAACTGTCAACTCCTTATAGCAACCTGAAATGTGCTAGCAAATATCTACAGATTTTATAAACCTGCCTTCTCTCTCTCTCTCTCTCTCTCTCGTTGCCAATATCTAGAGAGGAGACATAACCAATATCCAGCACAGTTAAGTGGATGTCCTGTCACAGGCAGTTTACCCCACAGTGAGAACTGACACCCCGGCAAGGGTGATACACTTCAGCTGTGCAGGGTTGCTCCAAGTTTTTACCATTCAATAACCTGTGCAGATGAGGAGTCACAATAACGTGGTTGAAATATGTTGACCAAATCACACACTAGAAAGTGAAGGGACGACGATGTTTCGGTCCGTCCTGGACCATTCTCAAGTCGATTGTGAATTCTCACAATCGACTTGAGAATGGTCCAGGACGGACCGAAACATCGTCGTCCCTTCACTTTCTAGTGTGTGGTTTGGTCAACATTCAATAACCTGTCTGCCTTGTACTAATTGATGATGTTGTATACAGAGGTAGTCAGGGAAAAGAAAGATTGGACAATAACCATGTGTTGGGGGTTAAGACTGACATGCATATATTAGACTTTACAAAAATTTTAAAAGAACAGAATCTTGTGAATAATGAGGAACATCTGTGCCTTTACCTTTGATGCCATTTTCTACAATTTATAGTTTCATAAATCAACAAATGGACGAACAAGGTATAATAATTTCATATTCTTTAACTGCATTATTTGTGTATTTGATTTCATCTGCAGGAAGATATGATATACGCACCCATTTTTATCACTTCCGGTGGAGTTCTCTGATGCTCAATAGCAACCCTTGGAATATATTCAAACATTGCCAACACCAGTCGAATATACCACTTGTCTAAGTCTGCTCGACGATCACTCTTTTTAAAGACACTTTCTGCTGTTTTTGCAAATTCCTGAAAATATTAAATTAAAATTTCAATGTCAAAAATCAAATGATTACAGTATTTATATCAAGAATATACATACACATGCACATGGATATAGAAATGTGAACTAATCATTTACAATATATACCAGATCCCTAGTTTGACTATAAAGATGTGGTATAGTTTTTGCACCTATTAATAAAAAATGAAACATCAAATTTGAAGATATTCCCTTATCTGGTGGGCCCCTTAGTAGCTCTTCACACCAGGACTCAGAGATCCATCCTTGCCTACCAGACATCAGGATCAGACACCAACTTGCTCTACAGAATGAATGGAGCTTGGGGATCAGAGATCAACCCAAAACTGAGGAAAGCTTGACAGAACAGAAGTAAGGTACCCCCAGGGAAAATAAGGCAAATGATCATTGCTGTAGGGTAAATACCCTAATGGTGATGTGCCTGACCACCGCCAGATGGTGGCACAGGTCACTTAGACAGCACACCACCTCACTCATGAGCCCCGGTCCCCACCCACCTCTGAACCAAACCCCAAATCCCCATTGGAAAGAAGGGAATAGAGCAGAGACAGGAAGCTACTGAGGGCCAACCAGAAAAGTGCATTTTAATATTTGATTTCTAGGAGGCCCCTCATGTAGCTTCCTGGACTTAATCACGCCAGCAGAGAGGGCAGACTTTTCAGAACTGGAGAAGATGGACAAGGCTGACTCATGGAAGCAGCAAGCAGTAGCAGCATGTCTGATGCTGCTTCCTGAGGGAAGCAGCATCAGACATGCACAAATGCAAAGCCAAAACACATCCAGAGAAGCTGATGGACATCACAGGGCCATATAGCCAGGTTGATCTTGCAACTTTAATAGAAAATTTGTTTAACTTATCCTTGAAGGCTTCTACTGTTATTCAAGCAATATTTCTTATATTTGTTGGTAGGAGGTTGAGCTATGGACCATCGATATTTATCTATGTGTTCTCTAAACATGCTCATGGCACCCCAACATTTTATTCAATTTATTTTAATTTTCTACCATACCTCTCACTACAGTATGTTATAATTTCATTAGGACTTGACCTTCCAGTATTTACTATGTGTACACATAATGATATTGATACATGAATGTCTCCAGGATGAGGATTATGTATCTGCCAGGTCCCAAAGTCCTCATTTCTTGTTTCATAGGACTCCCTGTTTATTGATTTCAAGTTGAACTCAACAACCAACAATTGTAATTTTTCTCTATCTACTTTTACTATAATCTCTCTTATGATCATTATGAGGCCCTCTCGTTTGTCATCCAGCTCCTCCTTCGTCCATGTGTTGCTTGCTGGTGGACTGTAGCATTAATCATTGTCAGTTTAATATCCAGAATACAGATCTCCAGTGCCATTATGTCAACTCCTCATGAGTTGTCAATTATTAATTATTGTACCTCTAGGTGTTCTTTCAGCAGCGCACCACCATCTTCACAATTTCCTAATTTTTCTGTCACGTCTCCAAATTGAGTAGCCTCTCAGAAATACGACCATAATGATGACTCTGGCTTTTAGAGTTAAGCAAGGTTAGATTGTTTCCTTCAAGGAGTGCCGGACCAACCGGGCTGTGGTGGGTATGTGGGCCTGCGGGCCGCTCCGAGCAAAGCCTGGTAGACCAAACTCTCACAAGTCAAGTCTGGCCCCAGGCCAGGCATGGGGAGTAGAAGAACTCCCAGAACCCCATCAACCAGGTAAGGTTCATGAGCACTTGAAGCTGCCCCAGGTACTTGTGGTTAACCCAGCCATTTACTAAGGTGCCGTGTAAGGTGCTAGGACTAAGGTGAGCCTTAGTCTACAGTGGTGCCAAACCACTATGAGCTCACTTAGCTCTATGATGATTAATTCAGCTTGACCATCGTGATTTCTAACCAGAAAGCAAAAAAAACAAGAGTCAGAAAGCAGAGGTGGATGAAATCCAGGAGGTTGGATGAAATTCTCTTTCTCATGTTTAATTCGTTCAATACTCATCACCCGGTACATGAAGGTACCCTTTGTCATACAACAGTAGTTACTTGTAGATAATCATCTACCATACTACCCTTGCATTGCCTATAGAAAGCAATTCCATAATTCAAAATTTAGCATTTTACTTTTACAGAGTATATAACAGTACACTGTATTTATATGGCTAGCTTTTTATCTTGTTCCATGACTTACATTTTATTTACATATATTGAAGATAAATGTTCTAAACAAAATATTTTAAGAAATATAAGCAAAGGTGTCACAAAATATCTATAATATTCATATCACAATCTAAAACAACAGGTGGTACAATAGTTCAAAATATAGATAAAACATATATGTAAACCTTTCTCACCTCAAAATTAGTAATAAAGGGAATGATGCCACACTTTTTCCTTGCAATACGACATTCCTGTATTGACTGAATTTGTGAATTCATGAAGCGGTCAAAGTTGCGTTTTGCTTGCACCAAACATGAACCAAACGTTGTACTCAAGAAAGAACCAGTATCCTCAGCAGTTAATACGTGCTCACTCAGACGCACATAGATGTACAGACAACAGCTGGAATAAAACTTTGTATCAAAATTCAAACACTTAACAGGAAGGAAGGAGGGAACTATCAGGGGGAAAGCGCCAAGCCATTACGACTATATAGCACTTGGAAGGGGTCAGGATAAGGATTTGGGATGGGACGGGAAGCAGGAATGGTGTCCAACCACTTGGACGGTCGGGGAATATATGTAGAAACCATCCTTAGCATTACTACCATTATCTTATATCCTACTTTAATGGGAAGGGAGGGCATCAATCAGGAGAAAACAGTTAAGCAATATTGGGAAACAATGATACTACAAAATTTTTAACAATAGCACAGTAAAACACAACAATTATTTTTTTGGATGAGGAAATTTGAATGAAGCGTGTAACAGGATAAATAGATATTTCTTAGTTTCTTTCCAACTTGTTGGGAGATGTAGTTTTTAATCACATCTGGAAGACCATTCAACAATTTGGGACCCTTGATTTGCATAGCATTTCTCACACTGGTTACCTCACTCTAGGAATATCAAAAAATATGTTTTTATCATTTACACATTACAAGTGAAATAAAACTTACTATGAATCAGCACGGTCATAAGTGTTAATGAATGAAGCAAGCTGTTGTTCAAGAGTGGTAAAAAGTGCTGCCATCATAGATCGCACTTCTCTGTTAAATGGCCGAGCATGTCCCGATCCTGGCGTTCCCGTTGCCCCGGTACCAGACGAGGTCCCTGCGGATCCACTGCTCTCTTCACTTCCACTAGACCCTGGGGTGCTTGCTACTGATGATGGTGCCCTCTGTGTGTCAGATACAAGGACATGTTCTGTATTTAGTTTTATATTCTATTGTTTAAACATAAAACCTGAAAAGAAATAATGAAAGAAAAATTCTAAATAAAACTAAAGAACTCTATTTTATTTTTTTACTGTGAAACATATACAGTACTGTACTATAGTTTAGCCTATAAAAAGAGTGCGGGTTGTTATCATAAAAATGACACCCGGGATACTGCAGTTATTATGATGTTGACTATAGTTATAGTTATTATCATCTGGCATTTATACAAATACTGTAAATGCAGCATGGTTATAATAGAACAAATCCATAAGGTCCGTGATGAGGGTTCGAACCTACATGTGGGATGTTCCCAGCTGTGCCTTAGTCAACTGTACCACGACATGGTTAAAAAGAATTGCAACCTGGAGTGCTACTGCCCTCACTAGGGTTCCGAAGCGTCTCCGAAGCCCAATCGGGGTTTCACACAATTCCCCCCATCCACCCGGGCTCTGTCAACCAAATGTTCTACCTCTACACCCTTACTTCAATAAGGGTGTAGATAAGAACTACAAAATAAAAGGGGTACTGTAACCAGACAAAGGAAACCCTAATTATGGAGTACTGTACTGTTAAATAATTGTTTCAAAATGTTTATCTTCCTTCCTATAAAAATAAAATCTTTTGGTACTATAGAAGCTTGTTTTTATATCCCAAAAGTAGTCTATAATATACAAAGTCTATCATATTTTTAAAGAAAAAAACATCTGTGCATGCGTATTATTCACTTCTAAATAATGGTACGTAAAATAACATTTGCTATACCAGTACAGTACAGAGAATGTATTTAGTGCAGAAGTAAACAATTTTGGTAATAAGTCAATCACAGAGGTAGAAACATAGGAGCAGGTGCTGCTCATTTTTTGTTCCCCCAGAAATTATGATATATTCTTTCATTGTAGTATTTGATCAGACACTGTCTTCATGATTTCAAAAGATAATGATAGAAATAACAAACACTGACTTCATTTCCAGCAGCATTCAAGTTGAAGAAGGCAATACAGAACTCCTGCTCAGCTAGACACACTGGCTGTAGCTCACTCAGCACACGCTCAAAGATTTCGTCAAATTTCTGTCGCTCTTGCATATCAAGCTGTGTAAACAGAAAACCTCAAATGTGTCAACTATGGTCTTTGTAAGAATATTACCTACCTGTAAAATTATAATCAATTCCTGCATTACTAATGCCAATTTTACATATTTGTACAAATCATTATTTAAATGTGAAAATAGACTAACGCTGATAAATAAAAAATAAAATGCTGAATATAATGTAATGGATCTGGTGGTGCATCGGTCTACATCCCCAGCTCACAACCAAGAAACCTGGGTATGATTCCCATGCAGGACACTGATTGGGCACATTTCTCTTCATCTGATGCCACTGTTCAGTAAAAAGTACCCAGGAATTAGGAAACTGTAGGGCACTACATCCTAGGAAAAGTCATCAGTAGTTATTGGGAAAGAGGGGGACAGGTCTCAATAAACCTAATGGGGTTTCCTGTTCCCGACTATGGGAAAGGTTAACCATAATAAATACCCTTCTTGGGGCAGCCCTCAGTAGCATCCTAGTATATTAGACTATTGTACTACAAACAGCATTGTAAAGGTAAACATGGTGAACTGAAGAGGTGAAGTGAACCACACACACATGATAGGTACCCAGCCACCTACCAGTATCTGATGTAGCACAAGTAACCCAGAGTGAGTCACCTTAAGTGGTGCCAAGCACCAAATCACGATTTGGCACCAGAATTCAAGGGCCTGAATATTTGAGCAAGATGTGGTAGAAAAGAAATATGTAAGAGCAGCAAATTTTCAGGAATATCAGGATGTGCATATGAGGGTGAGCATTAGGTTGAGCTATGAGAGCAGGGCCTTGGAACAAAGAATGAAGGCAGATTAATTTAATAGGGCAATAGAACAAGAGGCACCATTGTAAGCTGGAAATACTGGCACAAAGTAGCCGCAGGATAGAGGATATGATATATACCCAAATAGGACAAAGATGGAGTGAAGAGAGGACCTAAACTGAATGCAGGCAACTCATTTACTGTCAAGAATGAAGGAGGAGATTACATTTACACATATCTGTCACTGGGACTGAAGGAAAAACCTATCAGCCACTGAAGAACTTGAAGCTCAGCCAACCCAATTACTACTGGTCAATGTGACATAAAAATAAATAGTCTTCATAGTGATATTTTCCAGAAATACCACAGTGAAATAAAATTAAATAAAATACTATGTTTAACAATCAACAAGGCTCCAAACAAGATGGAACAATGAGGGTGGAAAACGGAAGTCCAAAATTAATAAATAAAACAGGCGGCAGATCGAGTCCAAGTCCAAGGAAGAGAGAGGTTTGGAGGAAGCAGAGCAATACAATGTTTGTTATATTGCGTTTGAGCATGTGATGTGCTCAGGAACATCTATTTAAAGAATGATATGAGCATTGCCTTTCATGACAGAACCAGAAATCATACAGAAAGAGATGGCTCAACCCCCGCAAGCACAACTAGGTGAGTACAACTAGGTGAGTACAGATGGACACTATAGTAAAGAGAATGTTTTGCACTCTTATCTCTACAAAACTTTTTTGTTTAAACTTTAACCTAGGGTAGCTGCTTGAAAATATAGCACCAGACTGAGGCTTAACAAATCAGCAAGAAATACGAAGGATTGAGATGAAGTAAAAAAAAAATTTCTTGGAAAATTGTAAAAATTTCCTAACAGAAAGCATATTTACCTCTGAGCCCCACTGATCACGATCAACACCCAATAGTGCCCCAGTGTTAGTGCGTGTTCCCAGGGTTTGTGCTCCATGCTTGATTTGGGAGGTGAGCTTTCCTGCTACCCCTGCCATGCTAGCAATATCCTGACTTGATCCACTTCCACGTACTGCAAACAAATAAGTGAGCGCTAAATTAAAGTACCAGCTAGGATGATAACAGAAACATCCCTTATGAAATAATTATATATATTATCAGTTTGTCAATGTAATAATAGTTTAATGCTTTAACTGGCACTTCAGTAAACTTTACTCACACCTCCTACCACCAGATATGCGTTGTCTTGCCTCTTCAAAGAAAAGTCTGATGTCGCGTTCATAAAGCTTGCTGATGGAAGTGGCGTAAGTTTTATTGAGATGTTGATAGGCCCGATGGTCGAGAGCTCGAACCCAATGCATAAGTGGCATGTATGGACGCAGCTCAGTATGGATACTTCCGTGGCGAGGCAACGTAAGTTGCTCAGCATGCAGGCTCAGTGTTTCTCCAGGGTCATTACCCTTAAAAACAAAATTTCTGTACTGTATCTGTTGTCTACAATAAAGTACAGTATAGTGACTCCTACTTGAATGGAACCTGGTCTACCAAAAATCTGGATATTCAGTAAGATTGCTGTGATCAATTGCAGCAAAAATAACAAAGCTCTGGTGAAGTTATCTAGGCCATTTGCTGTACCAAATTTAGTGTCCAAAGATTTAGAAGAATACAAATTTACAAATTACTAAAAAATGACTTTTCCTTTAAATTGATTTTGGTACATAAAGACACATAGGTATTTTCTATCATTTGATTTATAAAACTCCAGCATTGAACGTAATGAAATGCTCTTTACTAGGTGCCCTCAGTAGCTTCCCAGTGTTGTGGCTCTGGTACCACTGATAACCACAAAACTTGTTTACTGCTACGGAACACCGGGACCAGAACTGGGTGTGCTTTTACAAGAGCAGCAGGGGGGATCTAAGATCAACCTCATAATCAAGTAAAACAACCCAGAAAGTGTGAGTGAAGCAAAGCAAGCTATATATCTTGGGGAGCTACCGAGGCTCCCCAGATAAGAGCATATCAATACATTCAATGTTTGACTTCTCACCTGGCACTCAGTAGCTAACCACAGCATTTCTTGCAACGATGCCCCCACAGAAGAAAACTGGTTTTAAGCAAAGAAGGACACGAAAATGGAGGGCTGGCCAGTGGGTTGAGAAGGGCAGAAATTCAGGGCACGGGTAAAAAAAAAAAAAAAAACTTGGCACCTGGAAGGGTGCCCCACTGCCACACAGGCCTGGTGAGGACGAGGAATATCCAAACAGTACCGTGCAGACAACACACTGTAACACCAGTAAACTTGAGCCTAATTATTATCTGTAGACATATTAGAAAAGAAAACAGTAATAGCATACCTGAGCACATGTTGTTGTTGTTGTTTTACATTTAGCTACTAAGAATGAAATGTCCATGTAGCACAGGCTATGGTGAGCCCGTAATTGAGTTCGGTTATTAACATAACCTTGTTACTCTGATATTTGGGTCAAAGTTTTCAATGGAGGTGGGAATTCCTCCTTTTTCCCAGTTTTTTGTTTCGCTTCTGTTTTAGTGCACTGGTTTTAGTCTTGTTTTAATAACATTATCTTGGTGGCATATGTAGATGCAGAATACTCACTAGTGAGTCCCATTCCTCAACGACTTTTCTAATCATTGTAGTCGCTGTGGGATGTGCATCTAATGCAGCTGCTGTTGTTGAATTAATGTTGAGTTTGATGCGCAGGCCTTCAGTAGCTTCATATTCCAGTAAGTAGTCCAATAGTGGCGCCTCTGCTTCTGTTACACAGATATGACACTCTTTAACTATTGGGTTTATTACCTCCCAGCAGCATTTGTAACCAAGTCTGAGTCTGTGTATGGCTACTGCAATGTCTCTGGATATCTTTTTGTAAAGCTTGAAAGAGTAGTACTCAGTGGCTTGCTCGTACCATATCGAAGTGGATCTTCTTTTCGCTACTTTGGCTCTGTGGCGACTTTTGATAGTTGGGTGTATTTTCTTCTTGATTTGCTCCTTAATCTGTGAAAAACTTTGAAGTATTTGAACCTGTACAACAGGTAGAGCAGTGGCAGTTTTTGCTAGTGAGCCTGCCTTTTTATTACCATCTATGCCAATGTGACTTGGTATCCAATTTAGGGTGAATGACAGTCCTAGATTATGAGCTTCTTTTCCTATATGTTGGATTTCTGTGAAGAGTTGTATACTGTCTCTGTGCCGACTGAATAGCAATGCCTGGAGCAAAGATTTAGAGTCGGTAAGGATGATGACATCATGTAAATTATTCTCAATTGTATAGTTTATGGCCTCTTTCAAGGCATATAATTCTGTTTGCAATGTTGAGCACCCACTATTTATGCTCCAGTAAGCTTCATGGTAGTTAGTGTAAACTGCTGCCCCAGCAGAACCTCTTTCTTGATCAACTGATCAGTCTGTGAAGATGTAAGTCATTGTAAGTCTTGAGATGGTTTCCATTTGTTGTTCTATGACCGCTTTGAGCCTCTGCGAGTCACAAGCTGATTTTTAAACTGGTAATCCTTCAATGATTATCTTTAGACTCGATTCTTCCCATGGAGGAGGCTGCCGAAAGTGTTGATATGGCCTATCTTCCCCTTTGTTTTTAATGGTCCATTTCAAGTCCACTTTCTCTAGAATCTTGACCAGATTATCCATCCATGCACTTGTTCTATATTGAAGGTTTCTCTGAAGCAATCTGTGTATGCTATCATTGATTGACAGTCTGGCGGTGGTTCCAACAAGTTTTGCTGTTATGGTGGCTATCCTTTGTTTGATCCTGTTTTCTAATGCTGGTAAGTTGGTTTCCATTCTTAGATTCTCTTGACGCATCCATATAGGTGCTCCCAGCATTGTTCTGAGAGCATCCTTTTGAGACACTTCCAGTTTCTCCCATTGGTTATCACTGAGGGATGTAAGAGCAGGAGCAGCATAGTCAATGAGTGACCTAACTGCTTGAACGAAGTACATTTTGAGTACTGGTAGAGATGCACCATTTCTAAGACTTGTCAGGGAGCACAAAGCTTGAGTTTCTGGCTTTACAAAGTTGTCGAAGATATTCAATTTCTTGAGTGAATTTCAACTGGCTGTCTATTACGACTCCTAGGTATTGAAACGAGGTAACCAATTCAATTTCATGTCCTTGTATTGCGAGTATGATGTCTTGAGTTCTCATTTTAACGGCCATTGCTTTGGTTTTATTGCTGTTTATTTTCACTGCTATGCATTCCACTTCCCTGCTGATAATATCTAGGCATTGTTGTGCATGGTTCCTGGCACCTTTGCCATTGATGATGACCACAAAGTCGTCTGCAAAGTTTAGCAGTTTGGCTTTTGGTAACTTGAGCTTCATGAATTGTTCCATGTGACAGTTGAAGAGGAAGGGGCTTAGTATTCCTCCCTGCGGAGTTTCATTTTCCAGCCTCTTTGAGGTGACCTTAAGCACATCATATGTATGTAGATATACATCAGGCTAGCCGAGATGACCCACTAGCCCAGTAACCCAAGAAAACCAGGCCTTGGAACAAGATGCAAAATAAACAGGATTAACAAAAAGAGCAAAAAGCCTCAGATGTGTGATTAATACATTAATAATGCTGCACCGTGGCCAAAAGACAAAGAGCATAATGCAACACCAAATGACCCCTACTAAAAACCGAGGACTTATTCTTGGCCAAAAAGAACAAAGAAGGCTGGAGATGGAGGAAGATTTCCAGGACAAAATGAACAATACATCTCATTTTCCTCAAAATATGACCCGCCAAATTATTTAACAACCAAGTACCCCATTCACTGCTGGGTGAACAGAGGCGTACAGTTAAGGATGAGCGCCAAGTCAATCCTCTCTGGCCAGAATACGAACCCATGCCAAAGCGCTCGCAAAGTACCAGGCAAGTGTTTTACCACTGCACCACAGGGATTGGCACAGTGGTTGTTTTGCTTCATCTATGGGTCAGCTTTATTTGGTTCAGAGGTTGATCTTAGATCACCTCCGCTTCTCTCACCTCTATGAGCACCCCGGGTTCTGGTCCTTGTGTTCAGTGGTAGGTCAGTGCAAGTCCAGAGGCCTGATAGTTTTGTGGTTGTCTCTATGGTACCAGAACCATAACACTGATAAGCAACTGAGGGCCAGCCTGGAGTTTAGTATAAAATGGCAAAATTCACAAGGAACTATTCTTCTTTTGTCAACGATGATTCAAATGAGAGTCCACTCTAAAGGGCCTGTACTTAGATTTCAATAATATTCTTTAGCAAATGAATCATGACTAATTTCAATTGAATAGGTGACAATTCCTGGGGTTAAAAACTTCATTTTACATCAGAAATATTTTAATATAATGTAAGATTAACTTACCAAGTGAATGAAGAGATTATTGAGATGCCTTGAAACTATCTGACTAAATCTGATCCTTAGTTTGTCAAATCTCTTCTTTTCATCTTGGACCGCCTGAAAACAAAGTTTTGATTACTGTAACATAATTTTGCAGTTTTTTGCAGAGCCTCAAACTTAATAAAAAAATAAAAAAAATATTCTGCATCTTATTTGTGAATATTAGCTCAGAACTTTATCTCCTTCTATTCCTATCTACTTGGATCACTCAACCAGCTGGTTGAATTTTCATTCTATAGAAAATACTTTAATTACATAAATGACGGCATAATATAAATTTGCAATGACGACAGTAATAAAAAAAAAAAAACAGCGTTGAGTGTAATGAAATGTCATTTTCTGGGCGAGTCCTGGAGGCTCCTCGGAGCTATCCAGGCTGAATGGATATGTATAACTTTCAGTCACCAAGTCAATGTGCTTGAATTTCTTGCCTAGCGGGGATGAGCCAGAACCTGGCCCTAATCAGAGAGGCACGAGGAGCAATGGCCTATAGAAACCCCCTGTGGTTGGGAGCATTCTATGTCTGCCATCGACTGGGGCAGGCACTCAGAAAGATAGGCGCCCCAAAACAAACCCACTATGCTGGTGAAAATATTGCTACCAAAAGCCGAATGAGTGGACAGAACTCCCCAAACAAAATTAGTAAACTAGTATGACGTCATCACATCACCGCGCAGCCATCTACACACCTCCCCCTTCCCCAGGAGGGGGAAGGGGGAGCCCCAGAGCCTCAGACCCTAGCGCCGGCGACCCAACTTACAGTTCTTAGGCTGGATGTCAAAATACGCGAAAAACACTGCTGACTGGAGGGAGGGAGGGATGCCGGGGAGCCTCCGGGACTCACCCAGAAAATGGCGTTTTATTACATTCAACGCTGGTTTTCTGGGAGGAGCCCCTTCGGCTCCCGAGAGCTACCTCACCAAAGATAAGGAAAAGAGAAAGAGCTTCAAGCACATTGACTGATGCCAGAAAGTTATACATATCCATTCAGCCTGGATAGCTCCAGGGAACCGACGGGGCTCCCCTCAGAAATTAAATCATAATGGAATACAGAGGTAAAGTTATAGCACTAATACAGTATTTCAATTTTTCTATATCCGATAGGATTAAATCAGATTGAATGTGTAAACAAATTACCGTACCTGTAATTGTGAAAGATGTGGAGAAATTGGAGCACTGATGACAGTTTGCAATGCTGCTGCTGCTTGAATTGCTTGTGGAAGACTGCCAGCCTTATTGAGGTCTGGCTCATACAGATCTTTCACATAGCTTCTTGGTAACTCTAATTGATTCTGCAAAAATTGACACTCAGATTATTCTATAAAGAAATGATAAAACAAAACAAGATAAATAAAATAAATGACTGAGATATATATTAAGTTTAATGCATCTAACAGCCTGGTTTACCAGACCATCAATCAGGGGCCTGGTCAGAAATCGAGTCATGGGGACATTATTAACCAGAACCATTACAAGGTATTCAGAAAGTAGCAAAGCAATCACATCAGAATACTGCAGCAGCTACTTCCATGTACAAATGAGTTACAGGTACAGTACTACAAACGACGTCTGCACATATACCAAGATCGTTCAGTTTCCCATCAACCAATCAACAAGCATCATTGGTCTAAATTGAGTCTTGGGGGAAGACCAGGATATAACTGATGAGATGAGGAGTTTTGAATTACTATAATAGAAATACCAGCAGTAACCAACTGCCCTGCACACACAACACCACTGTCCCTATTTTCCACTTGTTACAACTTGTCATAAAGTTGTTACATCTTGCTATAACGTTTTTATGACATTAAAATGCTGTTACAATTTGCTACATTGGTTGTTACAACTTGTTAGGTTGTGCTAAAAAAAATTCAAACGTTGTAGCAACTTCGTAGTTTCGTGGTGTGTTAGGCGGGTAGCTGGACTAGATAGTAGGTAGGGCAAGAGTAGGGTACTATGAAGATAGTGGAAGGGGTCATTTATAACATACTAGATACAGAAAGGTCAAGGGAAAATTATGGTAAATGCAACAGAGTATGCCTGTAGATATTCAACACGGGCAAGAGCAAAGATCTAAATACTAGTACTCAGGAAATACAAGGAAATAGACTAGGCAGCAAAACGTGTGGACACAGTGAACAAATACATCTTGAGGCAACATATCATGGAAATGACAAGAGAAAGAGAAGAGAATCCATCAGCTACACTAACCTGGGATTTATGCATAATAAGGTAGAGATATCAATTTTAGAATATGAGAGACCTCTAGTCAACAATTACTGCAATTGAAAGAGGAAGTTGGACCAGAAAATAGGTTGAGGATTGTAAGAAAACACTGACACGGGGACTACAGGAGGATTAACGTCTGTCTACAAGATGCTCAATGTGCAAAAGTCACAAAGCAGTTCATCCCATACATAAAGTAAGTAGAAAAAAGAGTAAGTAGTACTGCCCGAAACGCTTTGCGTAATAGTGGCTTTAGGCATTGTATGTACTAGCTCTATCTATAAAGCCAACAAACTTTGTAAAATCTCTTTATGTATGTACCTTTACCTAAATAAAAATTATTATTATTATTATTATTATTATAAAAAGTGAAAGTGAAACCCCTAGTTTAACAGACAGTGCAAGGAGAAAGCGGCCAAATGCACATGGAAAAATTTCAGGAACTGGGAACAGGCACAAATAGAAACACACTAAAGAGGGCTAATAATGAGTACACCAGAATTAGGAGGACAGCAGCGCAGCAGTTTGAAAATGACAACTAAAGAAAAGTACTACGAAGTCTTCAAATTGGAACAAGACTGGAGATCAAGGCGATAAGACAACAAAAAGCCAGAAGAAACACTACATTTAAATGTATGATCATTAAAAATTGATCGTTAAGCACTGATAAGCATTCCAGCAGTATGTCATTTAGTTAAAACATTGTCATATATACCAATATATTTTTTGTACTGTACTGTATTTATGCTTAACTACCTTTTCAGTTTTTCATTCTATTTTCCCATTTTCATATGCTCGTTGAAGCAATGTTCCCTACATCTACTAGCTATGTTTCTCAGTGCAAGCCAGTGGCAACTACTGCATGCATGTGATACACCTATGCCAGATGTTTATCTAGTCTTGGCCCATGGACAGACGCTAGGAATGTTAGGCCATTCAACACTAATTCAATCGTGTAATTATCAAATGGTACCGGTGCTCCTAACAGTGTCATTAAAATATAAAAGCATTTATAACGGTGGGAAGAAGTGATCTATTAAACCTCCCATCTTTATTAACGGGGTTTCCCGGGAGAACAAGACAAATATTAATAATAGATATTATGTTATTAAAAAGGTTAAAAGAAGCTCTTTACATGGAATTCAATCCACAAATTGCACAACATTGAAATTATCAATAAATAAACTTACTATCAATCTGTCCAGTTCCTCCAATAACTTGGAATTATTTGTATTTGTCTGCTCAATCGAAGTATTCTTGTCTGCCATCTTTTCAATGGAATCTTTTACATGAAGCAATATCTCATCATACGAATCAAGACGACATTCAATTGTTTCAGCTTCTGTATATGCAGCATCAATCATCTTCATTAAAGCCTCAACTTGAGCTTCTGAAGCCATCATACTGTGAATATTGGCCTGAAAATATGTTACAAATATTATACATCTTTTGTATATAATATTGTACATTAATACACAATGAAACATATTTTCATCTAGACATTAAGTTAAAATGGATAACTCTGGGATTTGTTTTTACTTACACCATCAAGAACAGAGAGGTCACGTGACAGTTGTTCTGCAAAGGCCTCTGCGTTACTGACCGCAGAGTCACACTGTTCCATGAGCCTTTCCAAGTCCATCTGTTCCTTCTCCGACAGAGCTCGATAATCCCCATCATCCTCAAAAACAGCATCCACATGATCAAGAGCTGAAATACTGTATGCTGTTTAATGCTATAATTGCAAATGCACTACAGTGCATTTAATTTTTATATAATTCTCATAAAAAGTTGTTGTTTTAATTGTAGGCTATTAAAAGGGGTCTCCCCAAGCTGTAATACCGTAGGATATAAAAATAGGGCCTCTTAACTTCTTACTCCATGAAAGGGGAAACTGTCCACTGTACTCTACTGTAATGATAATGCATGAATAAAATTGTTCTTATGTATAATTATTCAACAAATGCCAAGGAATCAGAAATTTTGAGAAAAACAATGTGTAGTTGGTAACCAGCTTACCTGAAGTATTAACATCCCCACTCTCTGCAAGATTAACATTCTCTTCAATAAGTTCTGTTGGAATATTTATGAACTGGGGCTTCTGCTTTGGCAAGTACCGGCAACACAACTGCAACAATAAATAAGAGTTTTAAAATGTATTCTACTAAGATATATAATTAATAAAAAACACACACACACACACACATATTTATGCTGTTTGAGAAGGTGGTGGAGGCCAAAACCGTCAGTAGCTTCAAAGCGTTATATGACAAAGAGTGCTGGGTAGACGGGACACCACGAGCGTAGCTCTCATCCTGTAACTACACTTAGGTAATTACACACGTACACACACAACTCTATTCTACCTACTTCAAGACCCCAAACCAACATAGAAGCAGCAAGAGAAAATATGGGCCAATAGGCCTTCTGTAGTTACTGTCAATCTTCTGTTCTTATATGCCATATATACCCATTGATTTGTTTTCTGGTTTTTGTCACCTCACCCAAAAACATTTGTGTCATATCACCTCACCCAAAACGAATATAAGCATGAAATGATATGTGTAAACCTGTCTTTGAAAATGTGAGAAGCCCTTGCAAAATGCTTTTAGGCATCAGACCATAAATAAAATGTGAGAAAATGAACTGTGGAGATTTAATTTTTCAATTATCCCCAACAGTGAAGAAAAAGATAAGAAATATTGAGAAGATTCGTGTTAGAATCATTAGAGCATATGAGGAAATAGGGAGCGAGTATGAATAATACAAGAGATGTGGTAAGGAATAAGGAAGGTTTAACATTTGTCTTAAATGACAACTTAAGGAAAGAACCTTACGCCTTTTTGTATGTAAGGAGTAAGGTCCTACTGTAAATATATTGCTGGAGGAAGAGGAGGAGAAGTAGGTACAGAGTGCTATATTTTGTCTTTTTACCAAACACTTAAATTGTTCAGCCATTTTAAACATTAAGTCCTGGTAAAAAAAACAGGCTAGTTAAATAAATTTATCAAATGCCATAAAGAAGATATTTAACCAATTGTCTTATCTAATATACAAGATAAGACAAACGATTTTCAGGTTTAGTAAGACATGTATTACTAAACCTAGAAATGAAGACAAAATTAAGAGAGGTTGACACATGGGCAGGCAATAAGTCACAATAACATGGCTGAAATATGTTGACCAATTCGCACACTTGAAAATGAAGGGACGACGACGTTATTGTACGTCCTGGACCATTCTCAAGTTGATTGTGACTTGATCCTGGACAATTCACAATCGACTTGAGAATGGTCCAGGACGGACTGAAACGTCGTCGTCACTTCCTTTTCTAGTGAGTGGATTGGTTGACACATGGCACTGTAAAGTATATGATCAACTCACTTTCCACAGAACTTGGATAAAAGCATGTTTATCTGGGGTGCTGTTAGCTACCCACTTGTAAACCCGATCAAATGTTAGGTCAAGGTCTGCTGTGTCCTGAAAATATAGAACATTCAAATGAATATAATATATTAGAAGGCAAACGATATTGCATATATTCAGAGTGATGCCTATCTATTCAAGACACCTTCTATGCTAAGTCGTATCAGAGGAAACTAATACTATATCTCCATGTACATCTACACTCAAATAATTTATCAATAGCATTAATACAGCTGTTCATAGATTACAATAATTGTAAAGTCTTCCTTCCCAAAATGCAGCTCATCCCTGTTCACTGTTCCTTTCCTGTGTTTTGCACATTCAGGCAATTACAGCGCCCATTGATTCCACCATCACAATGGGTACTGCAACATATTTTATTGCAAGATATGCCATCTTCAAATTAAATTAATGTTTTTTGTGCAAACATAAAAGATACAGTATTTATTTATGAATTACAAAACAAATCAGGGTACTCATGAAATTTAACCTCCATTGCTTGAGACACATTAACATGAATGCCTGCCGAAATGCTTTGCGTAATAGTGGCTTTAGGCATTGTATGTACTAGCTCTATCTATAAGTTCACCAATCTTTGTAAAAAAATTTCTTGTATGTATGTACCTTACCTAAATAAACATTTATTTATTTTATTTTTATTGAATGAGCAAGACAATGTGCGCCGGCAAGAGGCATAGGGCTTGTGCATTAATATCCCTCGACAATATTTTTTTGTTTATATAGTACATATGATGACCACTTGTACCTTGTTTTCGTCTCTTCCGTCAACAACTTGCAGCTCTCTTAGTGGCCAGGAGTTTTTTTTCTTATAGACATCTTTATCTGTTTTCTTTACCTGAGAAAGAAATAAAATACTATGCTTAAAAATATATACTGTACAAACTAAGAAATCACTTTAGCACTTTGTATAGGTCTATAATACTCTCAATTAAGTACAAGTTCATTGCATTGAGTATTATATACTGTTACGTGAATCCCCTGCATAGCAGTGGAACTGCCTTTTCCCTTCACCTTCAATGCCTCTGCACTGGAAGTCTACATCTACATTAATCCAGATGAGTCCTCAGTCCTGCCACCTCTCCATACCCCCCGGGGCCTGGCACAGCCTGGTACAGCTCAGAGGCAAGTTGGGTGCCTCTACTAACCAGTAGTTTGCCCCCACAAACAAGCAGTTAGCTGCCTTCAACTGGCAGTGGCGCAGCTCAACACAAAGGCACCACCAGCCACAATGAGCAGTTTGCTAGTTGACCAGATGTCCACCTCGTGTTGACACTGGATGAGTCATCACCGCCGTACTATATAAAGGGCGCTGCCTCCCTGGAGAGTCAGTCTCTCCCTTAGTGCTCTAGGATCACCTTCGTGTCTCTCACCCATCGTCCGTCTTCAGCCAACGTCGTGTGATTGATGCCATGGTAGTATGGTAGCTGTCTTCAGTACACCAGTATATCTTTATGCTTTTATTCATTGCTTATAGTTTATTTTTGCATTTAAGGTCATACTAACTTGTTCACCTTTGCATTACATGAGAGCCAAGTATTTTCAGGGACATTTATGTTCATTAATATTTCAGTAAATTGTTTAATTATTTATTTGATGATTTTCATTTATTTCCACCTGCGACTTACACACTGCAAGACCAATAGCAGCATTTTTTTTTATTTGTGTGAGGGAGAGTCATACTATCTTGGTTCAGTATAGCTGCAATACCACAACCCATCACAATACAAATCATTTATATACTACAGTTCTGTATTTTTTTTATTTTGGCTATATATTTCTAAAGTTGCTCACACCATGTGTGCTAATCTTTATAGGCATCTCAAATTCAATGCCGCATATACTTTTTGGGGGTGCTCACCTAAGAAACACATATTATAGGCAACAGAGAGGCTCTTTGGTTAAAACACGACAGAAGCAGTTTAGATGAAAGAAAGGTCACTGGGGCGGAGAGGGGGGGGGGGGTGGAGAAGAGGCCAATGTAAATGCAGAAAAAGAAGTAAAATAGTACATTGGATAGTCATACTGATCAATAGTAAAATATGTTGAGCAACATACTTTTTATGTGTTGAGATACTGTTTGAAAATCATTTAGCTTTATAGCAAGCTTTATACAAGCTATACATAGTTTTATAACAAGCTTATACTGTACAAGCAAAATATAGTTTTATAACAAGGTTTACCTGATGAATTGTAGCATACACAGGCTTTTCCTTGTTTATTGTGGCACATAAAAAGCTTGTCTTTTTCTTTTTGCCAGGCTTTGTCACATATAATACACCAATAAGACGCTCCTCTGTCGGCTCAAATACATCTCGCTGAAGACTATGGCGAATGGTTGCCATACCCTATACAGTATATGCCAATGTGATTTCTGCAAATAAAATATTGGGTTAGGCATAATTAAGAAACTCACAATCAGGAATCCCAGGCTCGAATCCTGGGTTGGACAAAAATGGTTGGGCACGTTTCCTATCACTTTCCTGTTCACTTAGCAGTAAATAAGTACTGTACCCCACGACTTAACCAACTATTGTTGGGTTGCACTCTGGGAAAGGTCAACTATTTAGCCTTAGGGGGACCTCGATATAAGCCTAACATACATACATATATATATATGAACAGGTTACCTGTCCCCGACAAAATGAATTCATTTCTAACAAATTTTGTTATAACAATTTATTTTAATCATGCCACTTTTTTATCATACATCTGAAGAATAACAATGGGGTCTGGCTGATACAGTATCTACAAAGGTGATAAAATAAACATAGAATTATTTTATCTTCAGCAAGAACTGAAATTTAAATTTACCTAGTTTAACCCTAACATGAAACAAGTGCAAATGGGTTCGTTCTCGACTCACAATTTAAAATCCTGGGTTCAAATCCCAGGTGAGACAAAAATAGTCAGGGATGTTTAATTTTCATATAATTCTTTCCAGATTGGTTCTTTTTAAAATGACAATCTATTGTATTAGGAACATGAATTACTGACTTAATTATATTAGGATCGGATAGGTTAGGTTAAGTAGGTTCAGATATGTTAGATAGGTTCGGTTATGTAGCTTTGGAGAGGTTAGGTTAGGTAGTTCGGATTTACTTATAATATTGTACAAGGTGACTGGTGCCATGTGCTTGTTACTCGTCACTGGTGCCTGACGGGTGAGGGGACATCTCTCGGGGTTCGTAGTCCTAAGGGTCCGGGTTTGATCCCCAGTGGAGGCGGAAACAAATGGGCAGTGTCTTTCACCCTGATGCCCCCTGTTACCTAGCAGTCAATAGGTACCTTGGAGTTAGACAGCTGCTACGGGCTGCTTCCTGGGGATATGTGTGTGTGTGAAAATTAGGATTAAGGTCTTGCCCAAAATGCTATGCGTGCTAGTGGCTGTACAAGAATGTAAGAACTCTTGTATATATATATAAATAAATAAATAAAATAAATGTCATTCTTTCCAAAATCCCAGACGGTTGAACCACTCCCAGGCCTCCTAATGTAATTATAGTTGTATGACTCCCCAAAAAAACATCATCTTTCCAATACTTTACAACTCTGAGAAGTATAGTGAAGGAGGCTATACTCCATACACAGCTTCAAGCGAAGAACTCGTGAACCTGTAAACCCAGGTAAAGGAAGGTAAAGAGGCGGGACCCAAGAGATGACTCCCAACCCCAGCAGCAGCAGCAGGTGTGTGGGTGTTGTCACCGCCAGTGTTGACAAGTGTGTGTGTTGGGCGCTTAGAGTCCCAGACCGCAGACGACGCCATTCAATAATAATAATAATAATAATTATAGAATAATAACCCTCACTTGTGTATTCGTAACATTAATAATTTTGTAACTAGCTTCAAAAGATTGTTATTTGCTTAGCTAAACGAACTAGAGGGTTCAGTTCCTGAACCGATTATGTGCCTCTGTAATCCTTTACACCACCGCCCATGGGATGGGTATGGGGTGCATAATAAAGAAAGAAATTGAATTGAATTGTGTATAATTGTGAAATTTATGTAAAGAACATGAATTTTTTTTTACATAAACTTCACAAATACACAAGTGTGGGTTTATATCCTATGTTATTAAGTCCGTGAGAAGATATTACCATTAATAATATTTTTTTAATTATTATAATAAACACACATTATGGCCTCTCGTTGTCTTTACACGCCTCACACCACCATCCTGACACTCATTAATATATTATAAAGTCCCAAGCCAGATACTGCAGCTAATTAATACCTAATTTGAGACAAACCCACTGTTTTGGTTACAATGAAAATATCATTCATTATATAAAAAGGAGAGATTTTTGTTAGTCTAAATAACGCAAGGCGGATGAAGGATTTATAGGATTAATGCCTCGGTTTCCGTGTAATCCACATTCTGCTAAACTTATATATATTAATTTATACGGCAATTAGTTGTCACTGGGCGGAGGCGGACCCTGCCTCCTAAGGAAGTAGATCTTTGGTCATTTCGTACGAACAGCTGCCATATACGTATATATATTTATTTATTAATTTGTATTTATTCATATATTTATATATACAAAAGTTGTTACATTCTTGTAACAACTGTATATTGTAAATAAATTGTATATTGTAAACGAACTGTATATTGCAAACAAACTATATTGTAAACATATGTAAAATTGTATATTTATATATACTGTATATAAATTGGCATAACAAATATTCAATAATTTGCATCTGCTTTATATATCCCCACTATAGAGTGGCTTTACACATTCCTGACATATAGCATATATAGCATAAGTTGGGCATTATATGAACCCTTATTCGAACCCTTCCTGTACGAAGTGAGCTGTATCCGCCCCCCTACCTCTACTCATATATAAACTCTCACAACAATATTTCTATTACACCAAATAAAGCCATTTGCTTATGAAACAAGTATTCCATTATCTTGTAATGTCATTATCATTATATTAACCTATCATTACTCTATTTTCAAGGCGCGCGGTGTCTTCCACATGGAGACATCTTTTTATCTAGTAAAGGTGTGATAATTCTATGCCACAAAAAGAGTCCAAATAGACAGACCATGACCTCGTTTGAGTCATTAATGCATCGTGGACCAGTTATGACAAAAGCATTTAGGAACATCACGGAGAGAAACACTCGCTACCTTGAGTTAAAATCCTAGCAAGGGGGAGGAAAACGTTGACTATTGCATCACATGTGAAAATTTGATGGCCGAAGCCCCAGTCAGTGTGAGGCGGACACGCGCCCAGTCAAGACGTGAGCTCCTCGCCCTTATATACCCTCTATTTACACCTCTTGTAAGTATCTCTTCAAGTTCCTCAGCCTCTAATATGGGTGTAAATAGTCTTTGTTCATCGTGTAGCATCAGCTGGCGCTCTTGTAGATGACGTGGTGCAGTAAGGATAAGAATTATGTCTTGAGGAAGTCTCCTCCCAAGGCTGAGAGAGTCAACTGACGTCAGGATGTCTTCCAGGAGCTGATGACGATATTATGTCTTAGTCACTCATCACGTGGTGCCTTGTGAGGTGTGAGGGGGTGTCTTGTGAGGTGTGTCTTGTGAGGTGTGTCTTGTGAGGTGTGTCTTGTGAGGGGTGTCTTGTGAGGTGTGTCTTGTGAGGTGTGACTTGTGAGGGGTGTCTTGTGAGGTGTGTCTTGTGAGGTGTGACTTGTGAGGTGTGTCTTGTGAGGTGTGAGGGGGGTGTCTTGTGAGGTGTGACTTGTGAGGTGTGTCTTGTGAGGTGTGTCTTGTGAGGTGTGTCTTGTGAGGTGTGTCTTGTGAGGTGTGTCTTGTGAGGTGTGTCTTGTGAGGTGTGACTTGTGAGGTGTGTCTTGTGAGGTGTGTCTTGTGAGGTGTGAGGGGGGTGTCTTGTGAGGTGTGTCTTGTGAGGTGTGTCTTGTGAGGTGTGAGGGGGGGGTGTCTTGTGAGGTGTGTCTTGTGAGGTGTGAGGGGGGTGTCTTGTGAGGTGTGAGGGGGGTGTCTTGTGAGGTGTGAGGGGGGTGTCTTGTGAGGTGTGTCTTGTGAGGTGTGAGGGGGGTGTCTTGTCTTGTGAGGTGTGAGGGGGGTGTCTTGTGAGGTGTGTCTTGTGAGGTGTGAGGGGGGGGGTGTCTTGTGAGGTGTGAGGGGGGTGTCTTGTGAGGTGTGAGGGGGGTGTCTTGTGAGGTGTGAGGGACTGTCTTGTGAGGTGTGAGGGGAGTGTGTCTTGTGAGGTGTGAGGGGGGTGTCTTGTGAGGTGTGAGGGGTGTGTCTTGTGAGGTGTGAGGGGGTGTCTTGTGAGGTGTGTCTTGTGAGGTGTGTCTTGTGAGGTGTGAGGGGGGTGTCTTGTGAGATGTGTCTTGTGAGGTGTGAGGGGGGTGTCTTGTGAGGGGTGTCTTGTGAGGTGTGAGGGACTGTCTTGTGAGGTGTGAGGGGGTGTCTTATGAGGTGTGACTTGTGAGGGGTGTCTTGTGAGGTGTGTCTTGTGAGGTGTGTCTTGTGAGGGGTGTCTTGTGAGGTGTGAAGGGCTGTCTTGTGAGGTGTGTCTTGTGAGGTGTGAGGGGGTGTCTTGTGAGGTGTGAGGGGAGTGTGTTGTGAGGTGTGAGGGACTGTCTTGTGAGGTTTGAGGGGGGTGTCCTGTGAGGTGTGAGGGGCTGTCTTGTGAGGTGTTTCCTGTGAGGTGTGAGGGGGGTGTCCTGTGAGGTGTGAGGGGGGTGTCTTGAGGTGTGAGGGGGGTGTCTTGTGAGGTGTGAGGGGGGTGTCTTGTGAGGTGTGAGGGGGGTGTCTTGTGAGGTGTGAGGGGGTGTCTTGTGAGGTGTGAGGGGGGTGTCATGTGAGGGGTGTGGTTTTTTTTTTTTTTTTTTTTTTTTTTTTTTTTGAGATATATACAAGAGTTGTTACATTCTTGTACAGCCACTAGTACGCGTAGCGTTTCGGGCAAGTCCTTAATCCTATGGTCTCTGGAATACGATCCCCGCCGCGAAGAATCGTTTTTTCATCCAAGTACACATTTTACTGTTGAGTTAAACAGAGGCTACAGTTAAGGAATTGCGCCCAGTAAATCCTCCCCGGCCAGGATACGAACCCATGACATAGCGCTCGCGGAACGCCAGGCGAGTGTCTTACCACTACACCACGGAGACTGCTTGTGAGGTGTGAGGGGGGTGTCTTGTGAGGTGTGAGGGGAGTGTCTTGTGAGGTGTGAGGGACTGTCTTGTGAGGGGTGTCTTGTGAGGTGTGAGGGGTGTCTTGTGAGGTGTGAGGGGAGTGTCTTGTGAGGTTTGTCTTGTGAGGTGTGAGGGGCTGTCTTGTGAGGTGTGAGGGGCTGTCTTGTGAGGTGTGAGGGGGGTCTTGTGAGGTGTGAGGGGGGGGTCTTGTGAGGTGTGAGGGGGGTGTCTTGTGAGGTGTGAGGGGGGTGTCTTGTGAGGTGTGAGGGGCTGTCTTGTGAGGTGTGAGGGGCTGTCTTGTGAGGTGTGAGGGGGGGGTGTCTTGTGAGGTGTGAGGGGGGTGTCTTGTGAGGTGTGAGGGGGGTGTCTTGTGAGGTGTGAGGGGGGTGTCTTGTGAGGTGTGAGGGGGGTGTCTTGTGAGGTGTGAGGGGGGTGTCTTGTGAGGTGTGAGGGGAGTGTCTTGTGAGGTGTGAGGGGGGGTGTCTTGTGAGGTGTGAGGGGTGTGTCTTGAGAGGTGTGAGGGTGTGTCTTGTGAGGTGTGAGGGGGGGTGTCTTGTAAGTCATGAGGCAGCATGCCTCACATGTTTACAATCTAAGCATTGTTTTAGATGGTAAACAAATCCAAACAATGGTTATGAGTTTAAAGTACATTGAGGAAGAATACACAGGGAGACGTGATTAAGACATGTAAGATACTAAGATAGATTAACACAGTATACAAAGAAGTAATGTTCAAATCCAAACAAAAAAAGTAGAACAAGGGGTTAAAAATTAGTGGTGTATGTGCATTAAGATATTAACAAAATACAGGTTCTTTATGTGCTTACGGCATATTGAAATGCAGTGTATTGCTAATTTCTAGGTTTACCAACACCTAATTTAGATACGGGTATTTGCTCTTGGGTATTTGCAGTCCCCATGGTGTAGTGGTAAGACACTCGCCTCGTGTTTCATGAGTGATTTGTCTTGGGTTGGTATCCTGGCCGGGGAGGATTTACTGGGCGTCAATCCTTAACTGTAGCCTCTGTTTACCCAACAGTAAAATGCGTACCTGGTTGTTAAATGATTTTTCGCTGGGTTGTATTCCAAGGCACATAGGATTAAGGACGTGCCCAAAATGCTACGCATGCTAGTGGCTGTACAAGAATGTAAGAAATCTTGTATATATAAATAATAATAATAATAAATAAATAATAAAGTTAACTAAAATTATTATGATCTAAACTAATTGTGTGCATTAGCCTAGAAAATTTTGTTAACACTGAACATAGCATTTTAATGGCAAGATCAGTGATCAGTTTTTGTTCTCATAAATAAATATATGAAATACAGGTACTGGATATGAGGGAAGATTTAAATGCATAAATTTGAAGGTTAAAAAAACACACCTAGCAAGTCTGCATTTTTAATATAACTTTCTTCTAAGCTTAATTCCAAACCAAAATGATTACCACTACAGTGCTGTAAGTTGCATATTTTGCCCTAAAGGAGCACAAGTGTCCCTGGACCACAGTACTGTGCTTTACATTATGAATAGTTTAGTACCTGGGCGGTGTAGGGGACTCCCGACAGTGTCCGGTGTTCTCAGAATAATATTGAAGGTGATATGGTGAGAGCCGACCACAGTGTAACCTTCAGGTGATGGGAAAGGGATCTCCTCATAGTTTTACTCTGCAGGCATTGTTTCATATTTTTGTATTTTGTTTAATGAAGTATGCCAGTATATTTTTATTTCATATGAGAATGTTTCATGGTCATTAAAATTTGATAGTCTATTCATTATAATGAATTAAATATTTCCATTAAAACCCTTTACCTGATTTTTTAAATTGTAGTTTGTAGTCTACAACCAATTATTTACTCTTAGGTCTTCTATGGCCTTTAAATTATGATGATAAATGTTATTATTAAAATGTATTTTGTCAATATTTTTTTTTTTTTTTTTTTTTGAGATATATACAAGAGTTGTTACATTCTTGTAGAGCCACTAGTACGCGTAGCGTTTCGGGCAGGTCCCTGGAATACGATCCCCGCCGCGAAGAATCGTTTTTTCATCCAAGTACACATTTTACTGTTGCGTTAAACAGAGGCTACAGTTAAGGAATTGCGCCCAGTAAATCCTCCCCGGCCAGGATACGAACCCATGACATAGCGCTCGCGGAACGCCAGGCGAGTGTCTTACCACTACACCACGGAGACTGTACGGAAAATATAGGCATTCTTTTGATGAAATCTGCTTTTTAGATTTTAAATGCATTAAATTTGAGACGCACAGTACATATTTTAAAACACTCCTACCAAAGTCATAAGTTTGTTAATACTGTAGGTTACTGTGTGTTCCTCTCAGACTATTGTAGTTGGGACCAACCCCCAATTTCAATAAAACCACCTTACCTTACCTCGAGGTTACCTTGAGGTGTTTCCGGGGCTTAGTGTCCCCGCGGCCCGGTCGTCGACCAGGCCTCCTGGTTGCTGGACTGGTCAACCAGGCTGTTGGACGCGGCTGCTCGCAGCCTAACGTATGAGTCACAGCCTGGTTGATCACTTTCTAGAATCAACAAACATTAAACCAGGCAAATATTTTGAAGGGAAATTTTGAAACAAATTGATGTGTGCCTTTACATGTACAGTATTAGCAACTCAAACATAAATTCAATACACATTTAGAAAATTTATCACTTTTCCCAGATTTAAACAAGTTTCAAGCAAGCGAAATTGGTGTGTTTATCCTCCTCACATGGAGGTAAACACCCTCACAGCTACCGTGTAGGACCTGTCTACTGCGGCTATCTGTTCTTTTATGTGCTCCAGACACTGGACTTCGAATACAATTTTCATGAAATGAAATTAAGCTAAATTCAACAGTTCAAAATAGTTCTAGACACAACATTGAGTAGGCAAAGTTTACCCTCATTAACAGATTCCGTAATCAAATGATTTTCCAAACAAAATTCAGACATCAGTAACAAGTACTGTGTATTAAGTATTTTCACACTTCGAGACTTGAGTCAAACAGGCATTATATCACATCTCTATAATCAATCTCAGATCTGTTCTCTATGTAGTCTGGCATGTCGCAAAACCTCAAATAATACGCACTCTTTATACAGTAATTAATTTGCATTGTCAGGGACAAGAAACCTGTGAATGTGTATATTTTATTTATTATTGAGGCTTGTATCAAGGTTCCCCCAGGTCTAACTGGTGACCCTGTCCATGATGCAACCCCACAATGCTTGTCTACCTCCTGGGTACCTGTTTACTGCTAGGTGAACAGAGGCATTAGGTGTTAAAAAATGCACCTAACTATTTATGTTTTCACACAGGAATCTAACCCGGGATCCCCAATTATGAGTCGAGAATAAAGTCAACTGTACTACAAGACTTATAAAAATAATTGTTTATAATTAATACAAGTCTTCCTCTTCTCTTTTTGTGTCTCACCTTTACTTCTATATTTAACCCTGCTCTTCACATACATATACTGTACATTACAAGAGATTACATTAAACAAAATTTTAATAAAATTAAAAATACTATATGATTAATTTATATAAATGATCCAATAGGCCTTCTGCAGTTGCCTTTGTTCTTATCTTATGTAATCTCGCCAGCCCATTGTACCTTCTTGCAAATAAATTATTATTATTATTATTATTATTATTATCATTATTATTATCATTATTGTTTCAGATCTGTGGTGTGTGAACAGTAAAGATGGCTGGTGGAATGCCTGATAGGAATTTTCTAATGAGTGTTTTCCAGCAGTAAGTTTGAATATATAGTACTGTATTCTATATACACACATATAGTCCTTATCTCTTAACATTACTTAACATCACATCACTTTCTATACTATCCAATATATATGTTGTGTAGATTTATTTATTTCCAAAATTAGCAAAATCATAAGTAACAGATTTGCATCATTTGTTATATAAAACATTAAGTGAATATGTTATTTGAAACCAGTACGTAAATATGCATACACATGTGTTAATGCTCACATAATTGGCAACTTACTACCTGCAGAGTAGACAAAGATCGCAGTGGAGCTATAGATGCCAGAGAGTTGCAGTCAGCACTCTCTAACGGAAACTGGACCCCGTTCAATCCAGATACTGTTCGACTAATGATTGGTGGGTATATTGATGTACTGTAATATGTACTATATATCATTGTGTATATTCAATATGCTGTACTGGATAATGTGCACATTTTCTCTGGTGATGCCTTAATAGATTTACATTTGCACATTTTTCATATTTTCAATGTTAAACTTGTGGGCCTCTAGTATCTCAGAGTACAATTTCAGATTATGTAATCTTAACATGCTACCACCACATACCTGCAGATAACACCGCTACATCATTTCCTGACATGCTACCACCACTTCACGTCCCGACATGCCACCACCACTTCACGTCCCGACATGCCACCACCACTTCACGTCCCGACATGCCACCACCACTTCACGTCCTGACATGCCACCACCATTTCACGTCCCGACATGCCACCACCACCACTTCATGTCCCGACATGCCACCACCACCACTTCATGTCCCGACATGCCACCACCACCACTTCATGTCCCGACATGCCCACCACCACCACTTCATGTCCCGACATGCCACCACCACCACTTCACGTCCCGACATCCCACCACTTCATGTCCCGACATCCCACCATCACCACTTCACATCCCGACATCCCACCACCACCACTTCACGTCCCAACATGCCACCACCACCACTTCATGTCCCAACATCCCACCACCACCACTTCATATCCCAACATCCCACCACCATATCATAGCCTAACTTTCCCTTTCATGATCACTCTAGTGCGATCAACTGTATCTAGTTATTAATGAAGCCAATCTAATTAATTTCCAGGTATGTTTGATAAGAAAGGGTCGGGAACAATCACATTTGAAGAGTTTGGATCATTATGGAAGTATGTAACAGATTGGCAACAGTGTTTCAGGACCTTTGATAGAGACAGTTCTGGCAGCATAAATAAAGATGAGCTCAAGACTGCTATTACAACATTTGGATACAGGTAAGGCAAGAGGTATCATGCCCCAAGTTTTTGATCAGCATTTCTAGTTGTTGGAATAGTTTCTATTCCTTTGAGCTGGCTTCCAGGAGTATGGCTGGTGGCATTTTTTGCCGGAGCTCCAAATCTAAGAAGGCCGCTGAAGCCATCTTGAAAAATTAAGTTTTGAACCAGAGCGCTTAGAATCATGTACAAAGACTTTCTTTGAGTAAGTCAACCACAAGGATTCCAAATCTGACATTAATTTGACATTACATTACCATTTTTATCTAGAAATCCAAGATGGCATACATCTGTGGCAAAGTGCTTCAAGTGGCCTCTAGGGCACATGCCATGCTTGTCATACTCTAGTTACACCACTGGTGTTACCTGAATTTACCTGAGGTTAATTCACTATTAGCGATTGAAATTGAATTAAACCATTTGTTTTATCCTATTATCATAAATACAGTACTTGTTTTGCTATTATTCATGCATTATTACCTATTTAAATAGAATATTCCCATAATTTATGTTTGACTGAGAAATTCAAAATAAAGTATATTTTATGCAACAATAGATCACAGAATTACAGTGCATCTTGGATGGTTTCAAAGACAGTGAAACATTGAATTGAGAATAAGAGACTACTTCTAATATTTATAATTTACTACAGGTTTTCAGAGCCATTTTACGATGTGCTAATGAGGCGCTTTGATAGGTCCGGAAAATGTTCGATCCATTTTGATGATTTCATACAATGCTGTATAGTACTTCATGTGAGTATAACCTATTTTGTCTGCACCACTTTACCATCATTATCATTAATTTTCATATTTCCAACTTCAATGAGGATTAAAAGGGTGGATTGCATGTATATTCTGTATTATGTCTTCTGCAGTACATTTATTCTTCTGAGTTTGGGCCCACTTGGATGCTCCCAGAGTCAGATCTCGTATGGTTCACCTAGGGCTCGTACCACCTGCCAGGCTCTTGTTGATCTTGTCTCCCACATGGCAAGGAAGTTTTCAACTGGTCTTGTCATGTAATTAGGGAAGGGAGACAGTGACGAGTCTAACTCTAGACTACCAAGACACCAGTTATACAAAAGTGATAATAAGAAATGCAAGGAATGCCAATTATCATTCTGCCAAGTAGCAGTTAGGTATCAAAGGTTGCATCAACCACTTTCACGTGGAAGCCCTGTCACCACAGCAGTGTTGGCAGTACCAGAAACGTTTCTCTTTGCATATAACTTTTTACCCATCAATAAAAAATAGGCTCTGTAGTGGCCATTTTCTGACAATTTTTTTCTTGAAGAATGTGGGCCACTGACTATTGCTATCTGCTACATCTGTTTCAAGATTTTCTTCTGTGGTGTTCTTTGATGAAGGCCTTCAGCAACAGAGAAATTTCCTGAAGCTATTTACCTGAATTTACCTCCTGAGGGCCACTAATACTAGTGGCCTCGACGAGGACAGGAAGCTGGCGGCTTGTCAAAGGTCCCCCCATTTGCCCGGATGATCTTTTCTATCTGTATTTTAAAACGCAGCAGAGTTTTGGCGTTTACAGCTTTGGCAGGAAGGCGGTTCCATGGGTTTACAACCCTATGGGTGATAAAGTATCTTCTGTTTTCTGTCCTACATTTGTGGCATGTTGAGCTTGAACCCATTGCTCCTCGTTCGTCTTACATCTGACCTTTTGAAGAAATTGTCCAGATCGACATCGTCCAAATTGTTTAGCATTTTGAAGGTTTCTATTAGATCTGCCCTGTCATGCCTGATTTGCAGTGTTGTTAGCCTTGTGGCCCTCAGCCGTTCCTGATACGAGAGATGACTAAGCTCTGGTATGATTTTTGTTGCCCGGTGTTGCACCTTCTCCAGAACAGGTGTCTTTCTGACGATGTCTCCATGCCTAGATGCAATAATTCAGGTGGGGGTGCACCAGAGACTTGTACAGTTGAACGACTACTTTCTTTTCCTTGAAGGTAAAGGTAAGCTTGATTATTCCCAAGGTTTGGTTTGCTATTTTTAGTGCTGCTCCCACTTGTGCAACTTTTAGTGAATGATGGATTCTGATACCAAGGTCCTTTTCTTCATCTATCTGTTGTAAGGTAGTGCTGTCAATTTGGTAGTTGTGACGTGGATTGTTGTGCCTCACATGCAAGGTCTTGCATTTATCAACATTAAAAAGCATTTGCCAGTCATCTGACCATTCGTGGAGTTCATGGAATGAATGGAAGAATATTGTCTCACTGGTGTCATGGAGAGAGAGTGTGTCTCAGTGGTGTCATGAAGCAGATCAGTGACTTCCTCTGCTGTTGCTGTGTCAGCCCTGTAGCATACTCCCACTGTCAGTATGTTACCATGTTGAGCTAGTATATTGCACCATACAGACTCTGAGGATCCCATGGTGTGATTCAGCTCTTAGTGAGTTGTACTACTACCTTGTTTAGATCCTTGAAATGTCATCCTGGGTTTAGATTCTTAAGAAAAAAAATTAAAATGCCAAACAATTAAACCTATAGTTTGAGCAGTTAATTACACATGACCCACCTTTCCTGACTGCCATCAGGTCATAGTTCAAGCATCCCAGAGTCCCAACTGGTCACCATCCTCACTGTCCTATCTGATATTCCTCTATCCTCTTAGGTACTTTTGCTGGGAACCATTTGGCTTACAGACAAGTGGTTTGGCCTTCCCTAGGACACACTACATTGCAGGGGCCAGATATGTTTCACATGTATTAGTCAGCCATCTAGTGTCCCTTGATGCTTGCTCTCATTTTAACTGTTTTCCTGGCACCATCATTGAGACCTGTTAACCCTTAAACTGCACAAAACAACATATGATGTCTCGAGTAACTTCACATCGCAAGCAAGTACAAAACAGTAGCAGTGTTTTTTAATTGGTATACAAACTGGGGAATAAAAATATTGTAATTGTCAAATTTATAACTGCTTTGGCACAGAGGACCAACAAATAACAGTGACTTCCATGTTAAGGGGTTGTGTGGTTAAGTATTGGCAATGTCTCAACACATGGCTGCTCCTATTCCACCCCTCCCTCTTCCTGCCTACATTTTTGTCCAGTAGTGAGAACACTGCATAGCAACCCCCTTTGTTACCAAGTTGCACTTGGATTGCCTTTGAATTTTGTTTAAATATGCTTTGAACAAATTCTGGATTGGATTGAATTATTTCAGTGTCTGGCACTAGTTTGGCATAGCAGAGAAGCTTTCCAACAAGCTCTGCTAAGTCAGTGTGGAATGTCAATCTTCCCTAACCTCACAAGAAGATAACCATGGATCAGTAGGATCTTGCCTTAGGAGCAACTGAATATACAAGTCAGAACAGGGGTTTTCATAGGCACTCTAAAAGCCTAATGTTCATGCTCTTTGAAAACTAGGTTGCATTTCATTTTCTTTTTGGGCAACAATGGCATTTTCATTTATGGCATGAATGTTGGTTTTTCATACACTAAGTCATGTATAATTCAAAATAGTGGGGGTGAAACAGTTTAGTAAACCACTCTTAAAATATTTGGTGTGGCACAAAATTTATGGAGTTTGATGTAAAGGAATTGCACCAGAGTAACTGCTTTGAAAAATATAAGTATTTTAATTAAGAAATTTGCTCCCACTCTTCCAGACGTTGACTTCAGAATTCCATCAACGTGATCAGGACCAGACTGGAACTGCCACATTTACTTATGAACAGTTTATGTTGGTCATGGCTAGAGTCTTGTAAGGTTGACAGTCTATGAGTGGTGCTAAAATGACTTCTGTCACATGTATGTTAAACACTGTTTTGAGCATGATTTACGTAACTTGCTCTTACTTTTAAGATAGTGACATTAGCATAACATAGCCAAATAAATCATTGTTCTGTGTTGATGGAGCTCTGCACTGTATTTACTTAGGAAATTGCTTAAAAGTAGCTTTTATAGCTGTAATATTCCTACAGAATAAAGTAATGCTGTACTGTTTAGCTAATACGTATACTGCTTTTCAGTTAAGTTTCATCCGTAACATGTATGCACACAAATTAGAAAGTTATAAGAGCTTTTGATGTATATTTGTAGTGGGCCATCCATGACTCAACATTTCCTAAGATCATGGACTGTCTGGAAGTAGGTGGTTTAAACATTGTGAATGCTTTTTAGAAGTTAAAAAATACCACTGTCTGTGCTGCAACTTACCATTCTCCAAGTACTTATCTTACTGCTTAAAGTTACACTTCTTGGCTTTTTTTCAATCCTTGTCCACGTAATTACTAAAGTAACAACCTCGCAAAATAAGAATAAACGACGATTTTATTCTGAGTTGAGGTATGGTTCCCATTCTTTGGGTAAGGAAGCCTGTGTTTAGAAATATCAAGGTCCCAAAGATCAAGGAAATACCAAGGGAGCCGGTCAGCCGAGCGGACAGCACGCTGGACTTGTGATCCTGTGGTCCCGGGTTTGATCCCGGGCGCCGGCAAGAAACAATGGGCAGAGTTTCTTTCACCCTATGCCCCTGTTACCTAGCAGTAAAATAGATACCTGGGTGTTAGTCAGCTGTCACGGGCTGCTTCCTGGGGGTGGAGGCCTGGCCGAGGACCGGGCCACGGGGACACTAAAAAGCCCCAAAATCATCTCGAGATAAGATATAACCTCCCCTTTGGCCAACTAATGACCTTTGTTAGGGTGTACCCACAACATCCATCTTTGCTCCCTAGTATCTATTTAATGCTAGGTGAAGGGAGGCATGAAGTGAAAAGTAGTGTACCCAACCATCTCTGTCATGGCCAGGAATTAAATCCAGAACCCCTTAGGTGTGAGCTGACAGTATAGACCACCATGCATGCTACAAATGAGAGATGAGGTGACCGGCATGGTAGGACCAAACGGCCAGATTCACGAAGCAGTTACGCAAGTACTTACGAACCTGTTCATCTTTTCTCAACCTTTGGCAGCTTTGTTTACAATTATTAAACAGTTAATGAGCTCTGATGCACCAGGGAGGCTGTTTATAACAATAGCAATAGTTGATTGGGAGGTTTTCATGCTTGTAAGCTATTTAATAAACTTGTAACCAAAGCCGTCAAAGATTGATGAAAGATGTATACGTTCGTAAGTACTTGCTTAACTACTTCGTGAATCTGGCCCCTGGGTTGCTATCTGGTAGCTGTTAGTCACATCCTAGTTAGGGTGTTTACTCTGCATCAATAATCATTTGCTTTGTTTACCTTGGAGTTACTAATTTTCTTCAAGCAGTCACTTGTTTTTGTTGTCCTATCCTTTCTGGTGGGTTTTTCTTGATTTTGGGTTCTCTGATTCCCCAAGCTTCCCTTGCATCATAGAGAGAACCAGATCCGAGTTCTGGCTTCCGATAGGTCTTTGACTTTTGTCTCTGGCTGTCAGCTTGTATATCCCTTGGTTTGCCAGTTATCTTTGAAGGTTGAGGTGCCACCTCTTCAATTTCTTTTTTCTAATTTAAACTTTCCTACTTTGCTAGCAGTTTTCCGCCTGTGGTTCTATGCGGCATCTCTGTTGCCAATGCTGGGTTTCAAGTTCTCCTCCCTCCATATTTTGGGGTGTAAGGTGTTCCTCTGCTGGTGGCTGTTCTACCGTGTAAACACGGTAGAACAGAAATTTCCACAGTTTCGTTTCTTTGGCTTCAGGGTTTTTTTATGTCTTGTTTTATCTTGATGACAGCTGGTTTAAGCTCCCAGTTGATCTGTATATCTGCTGGCCAGAGATCAGCTTCTCAGTCTGCAGGTTTTGGATTTCTTGTCGACTGGAGGTGGTTCCATTAAGTTCCCAGTGATCTCTTGAGCATTTTTGTAGCAGCCTGATCTTCACTGTTCAAGTTTCTTCAGGGTTACTCTTCCTGCTGCCGTTGGGGGCCTTTGGGTGCAGTCTCCAGAACCTTTGCAGGGACTTTGTTTTTGCTTCCCTTTTCTTAATTTTTTGGATTCATTGCTGTGGTATCATTGCCCTCCTGTGCTTGTGCTGCTCAAGAGTGTTTAAGATCTTAGCTGGGGCTCTGTTTACAGTGATCGCCGTGCCAGTTGGAGCTATTGGCCTTTTTGTGTACCGGTGGGGTCGCCTTTTATGGTGCACAAGCTGATGCAATTGGTTTGCAATGCAATGCGTTCTATGATGGGCTCTTGTGTTCCAACTCTGCTCCCCAGTGATTCCTTGCCTCCATCAGAGCAATTCCAATTTGTCTTTGTGGCCATTGTGTGTCGTCCAGCTTTTGGTTTCTCAGAGTGGTTCCCATGCAATTCCTGTGTCATGTGTGCTGGTGGATAGCTTTTTCAATTTCTGCCAATCTTAACAGTGTGATCCTTCCCTTGTTTGTATGCCTGTTGTTTGGTCAACTACAGGTAGTTGTATTTGCTCCTGCTTTATTTCTGGATCTTCTGGCTTTTGTTTTTGTTTTTTGCCTCATTTGCTCCATGTCTAGTCAAAGAAATATTCCACTGTTTGACAGTGGAATATTTCTGTTGGCTCTGAGATGGCTGGCTTAGCTGTGGTTTCTGGGTTTTTGAGCATCGTGTCCAAACCTGAGTGTCATCATGCAGATCTGCCTATACAGTATAGTACTGTACCAGCAACTCAATGAGGCGTTTTATCTCGATGGTACCAGGCTTAACTTTTAGAGTTTTCTGACCTAGTTTCCAAACCCTTTTCCCCCCATCCACAGCACTCGGGTACGTTTGCCATTTCAGCAGGATAGTACAGGGTGGCATAGCAAGTTTTCTACCTTTTTTATATCATTTTAGAGTTAACCACTCAAACAGAAACTAAAGGTAATGTCCCTTTTATCGGGGTTGTTCGGGACTTATTGCTTCATGCCTTATATTCACTTATTTCATTCAGTCTTGGCAGTCTCTCTCTTGTTGGGTATCAGGGTAAATGTTTCTTCTGGCCCATTCCGTGTGTTGTCTGGGGCATGCTTTTCCCTCTCTGAAGGGCTTTTCTCTTTGGGACTTTAATGTTTTTTGGGCCCATGTGTTTTCTTTTGTGTTCTTGTTTTCAGATTTGTTCATCTTTTAAGGTAGAGATCAAGATATTGGTTTTTGGTTGTATACTTTGGTGATTGTTGCGTGATTTCTCCATCCAGAAATTCCTCGATCTCAGTATCCTGTGGTGACTGATACATTAGCCCACGTCTTGTGGGGTTGGTGTGGCCACACGTTTGGTCCCTTGTTTCAGGGCTTGGCTGCTGCTGGTGAGTGGTTCAGCTTAACCAGCCAACTATGTTTCATCAGGCACCCATTGTCATTGGCATTATGTCATTGCTGGCCTGGTTACCTGGTTGATGGGGTTCTGGGAGTTCTTCTACTCCCCAAGCCCGGCTCGAGTCCAGGCTTGACTTGTGAGAGTTTGGTCCACCAGGCTGTTGCTTGGAGCGGCCCGCAGGCCCACATATACCTGCTTGATGGGTTTCTGGGAGTTCTTCTACTGCCCAAGCCCGGCCCAAGGCCAGGCTTGACTTGTGAGAGTTTGGTCCACCAGGCTGTTGCTTGGAGCGGCCCACAGGCTCACATATACCTGGTTGATGGGGTTCTGGGAGTTTTTCTACTGCCCAAGCGCGGCCCGAGGCCAGGCTTGACTTGTGAGAGTTTGGTCCATCAGGCTGTTGCTTGGAGCGGCCTGCAGGCCCACATATACCTGGTTGATGGGGTTCTGGGAGTTTTTCTACTGCCCAAGCGCGGCCCGAGGCCAGGCTTGACTTGTGAGAGTTTGGTCCACCAAACCTTTGGCCTCATGGGTTACTGATTTTTTGCTCTCTTCATGAATTCTCATGGCTCTGTTGTTTAGACAGATTTTTTGGATGCTGCCACACTTTCATTTCATTGGGTCAATGGTCCATGCATGGTCTCCTTTTCCACTTTATGGTTAGTTTTATAGGGTTTCCTTCCTTTCTGTGGTGAAATTGCTTGGGAAGCCACCAAATGGGACCTTCCTAGAAAACCAGCCTTGAATGTAATGAAATGCTTCTTACTGGTGGATTAATGGTAGTTTTCCATTTCCGTCGTTGCCCTTCTTCAAACGAGTTCAGGGGTCATGAGGCGGTGCATAATTGATGAGGTTGGTGATTCGGGTTTCCAGATGGTGGCATTTGGTGGCAATCGAGTGTGTAAATCAGTGATGTTCAATCGAGTTAATGATTGTTTACATAGGCTCAGAGTTGCAAATGTGAGTCATGCAGTCATAGGATCAGAGTTGCAAATGTGAGTCTTGCAGGTGTATGTTTCCATATTTTCTACCTTTCTGATGGTCTCTCTCTCTCTCAGGGTGACTTATCATGGTGCTAGACCCTGCAGACTCCATTTTCCCTGTGTTGTGGTAGGTGCTTATAGATCATTAGAGCCTGGTGTGGTGCTGAGGGTTCGGCAGGTATACCACAGTTTAGCTTGAGAAAAGCTACCAATGGACCCAAAGAGGCCTGGTCGACGACCGGGCCGCGGGGTCGCTAAGCCCCGAAATCATCTCAAGGTAACCATTTCTCTCAAGGTAAGTACCCATCAGGAAAGAGGCATTTCATTACATTCATCACTTTTATCGTGGTAGAGATATGATTTGGAACAAAGCCATTTAAGCTTTGTTCCCATGAAATCTTGGTAATTTCTGTGGAAATTATTTAATTTTGGTTGCCTAAGAATAGTACAATTTCTGTGAAAACAAAGGGCATTAGCATTTCCTCTTTTTGGGGAAGGTTAACCTATTTTCTATTCAAAATAAATTTTGTCTAAATATTAATAAAGATGAACAAGGTGTTTGTGGATGACTAAGTATGTACATATGCAAGGAAATAATGTTTTAGATAAGCTTAATAGTACATTTACACTGAAACAAAGAGAGTATTGGGAATACCTGCAGGTTACATATGTACTTACAGTGGAACCTCGAGTGACGAGCACCTCAAATTACGAGCATTTTGAGTAACGAGCGCGCTGATTGGCGACAATTCGTCTCGATTGGCGAGCGCTCGTTTAATTAACGAGAAAACCACATGGTGCATTCCCGCTGCTTCTCGCACATTCTTGGACGCCTCCGACTATGCAAATAAATTATTCTTTTTGTTTAAAGACGCTAATGATGCTGGGATGTAAAGGGTTGACTACTGTGATGTTGCAAAGCATTGAATAACAAAAAAATGAAAAGAATTTGAAAAAAAAAACAAATGTCAAAAAGTTTTGTTCAGTGTGTGCCAGGTAGGCTGCTCCATTATTAATAAATATATGAAAAAACAAATTGAACACATTTGAAACAAAGAAAGATTGTCGTAATGGAGTATCCTACCTGAAAAACACTGAACAAACCTTTTGCTATAAAAAATATGAAAAAAGTGAACAAAGTTGAAAAAAGAACAAATGTCATAAAGGTGCATTCAGTGTATGTTAGGTAGGCTGCTCCATTATTTAAAAAATCAAATATATATTGATGATTTTCGGTGGTGGAACAGATTATTTTTATTTCCAATATTTTAAATGGGGAAATGCATTTTGAAAGATGAGCATTTCACATGACGAGCTCGATGCTGAAACGGATTAAATTCGTTAATCGAGGTTCCACTGTACATACATTTACCAATGCAAATGTATGACTAACTCATTTTGTGGCACTGAGAATGAAAAAAGTTTCATTTATTTGTAGACTCACGGCTTGTAGTTTGTCTCCACTTTGAACTTAAAATTGTGTTGGTACAATACATACATTTAAAAAACTAAATTTTTCCTTTCAGACTCTAACCCAGGCCTTTAGCTACCATGACTCGGATCGCGACGGTGTCATCACAATCACGTATGAACAGTTCCTTCACATGGTGTTTAGTCTTAGAGTTTAGATACAGTATAAACTATTCACAATCTAGGTGCAGCATTTCACTAAATAAGCGGGTCAGGTTATTGCCAAGTTTAGTTTTACACACCTTGTTGAAACAGTGCATTTTCTATAAAATGTTAAAATAATTAAGGATAACCATTTAACTGTGAGATGACTAGTATTAGCAGATTCCATTGTTCCATTAAAGATAGATTGTTATATTAAACTATGTTAATTCCTCTATGGTGAATATGGCCTGCCACTGGAGTATTCATAAGTACGTATAGCTTAGCTTTGTTAATCATGAGGAATGTTTAGACCTTTCCTGCAACTGTACTTGGATTCTTAACTAGATTATCATCTTACTCCAGTATACAGTACCGCAAGATTGCTTGACAACTTACTCCAGTATACCGGAAGATTGCTTGATACTGACGTAATTGTAGGTAGATTTACGATACATCATTTTCTCACTTTTGCATTCATGACATGAATGTTTAGAATGTGTTTTTACATTATATGCTTCTGATAGCATGAATAAATGTAATACTGTTTACTTATTGTTATGGATTGTGAAACTTGTTTAATTTTCTTTTTAAAATGAATTCCTCAACAGATGTTATTGTTGCAGTTATCTTCTAGTGTACTGTTCACTGAATGTGCTTTGTGTTAATCATTTGTATTGTTAAGGAACAATGTTTTATTGCATATTAAATCTGCACAGCTATACTTCTTCTCGAAGCTTAAATCTTGTATTAATGTTACTTCACTTTTAAGATTTATCTTCATTACTGTATTACATTTGAAGAGCAAAACATGTTAGCATTATAGCCATACAGTATACTGTACAGTGAAGTGCTGCTGAAATGGAACAATTTGTTCCAGGGGCTAGATTCACGAAAGCACTTACAAACCTGTACATCTTTTCTCAATCTTTGGCGATTTTATTTACAATTATTAACCAGTTAATGAGCTCGGAAGCACCAAGAGGATGTTTATAACAATAACAACAGTTGATTGGGAAGTTTTCATACTTGTAAATTGTTTAATAAATGTAACCAAAGCCGTCAAAGATTGAGGAAAAATGTACACGTTCGTAAGTGCTTGCTTAAGTGCTTTCGTGAATCTGACCCCAGGTGACTCTGATGCTTCTGTTATCTTTCATCTTATTTTTTCTTTCACAATTAATGTTTTCTGAATGCAACCAATACATAACATATTTCCAAATACAGTATTTTAATGTCATTCAAATTTTTTAAATACAAAAACGCACTTTTCTTGAATAATTATACATTTGGAAATTTCTTCATTATCCATACAACAATCTAATCAATTGCATTTGACACCAAATGTGAATCCTTTCATTATATCTGATATTTTGTTGGATCAGGAGTCAAATCTATTAGAACAAAGTTTTGATTTCTTTGTGTTTTGTATGATGTACTAGTATATGTGTCGTGCCTAACAGCCAGAACTGCTTTACTTGGCCTAGTATGGAAGACCTGACCTGCATCACAGGCAGAGTGATGTTTATTTTCAAATTGGTTTATTCCACTTATTATATTAAATTAAGAAAATGAATTACTGACTTAGGTTTGATCAAATTTCTATCAAAGCTATGTTTTAACAAATTAAATTTTTGATATCATATGTAATGGAAAGCTTTATCATTCCTAAGGAAAAAAATTGACATGCATAATTTCAGGAAAACTCGCCTTGTTAGGCAACGTGACCTATTAGTTATGTATATACATACATGCTGTATATCCTTCCATTATTTCTTGCTCTTAAACAAATGAATTTTAATTGCTGACATCTTGGAGGGAATTCTCAAGATTTAAAATTTAAATATATTTAGTTAATTGTTAAGAGCCATTTTCATAACTATTGATCACCTAAAATATAACCAATTAGGCCTGATATATTTTATAAGTAATCATTCAATATGCAACACATGCAACCAGGAGGCCTGGTCGACGACCGGGCCGCGGGGACGCTAAGCCCCGGAAGCACCTCAAGGTAAGGTAACCAGTCACTGTTACCTAGGAGCAAGGGTCTATCTTCTATTGTTGACATTGAAATTGTCTCTCCACGCGAGACACTACAGAAGCTGTACATTCTGGCACTGTGCCGTGTTATGATATCCTGGAATGTTAATGAATTTTTATTTTTGATTTACCGGTAATTCAGTTTACTTTAGGTTGGTGGGGTTTTATCGTGCTAATGTAAAGTACTGTACTTCCTCGTTTAAAGATAAATTTGTTCCCTCTTGAGAATGTATATATGCATGGAAGATTTTATATTTTTATATGTGTTAATATATTCTATACATTCAAGGAATATGCCTTATAAGTAAAATGTATTACCCGAATAAATTAATTTTTTAATCTTTAACCTAAATTTTACAATTGTACTACTTATTCTGCTTAGTGAAAGACGTAAATGAATGTATATACAGTACAGTACTGTACTGTATATATGTGTACAGTATATCAGAAAATTCTTGACTCCTGAAGGATTTGAACCCGGTCAGCCAGGGCCTCCATGCCCCTTGGTGTGTCCAGTACTATAACCTCTCGGCCACAGACTGTACAAAAGTGGTCCCGGCCTGCTGAAGTGATTGATGAAATATCTGTGCCCAAAATATTTATGAGTGCTGTTGGGTATTGGGGGTTAAAAGTCGGATGACTTCCCAATACTTTCGTACAGTCTGTGGCCAAGTGGTTATAGTACTGGACACACCAAGGGGCATAGAGGCCCTAGCTGACTGGATTCGAATCCTTCAGGGGTCAAGAGTTTTCTGATGCATGTTGGCTTATGGACCATTCAAGCTTGATACACATACAGTATATGACATTATATAATGTCATATTGCTAGAACCATGCTACTTGCCCTAGTAAGCAAGGCTGTTTTGTCTAATGGCCAGAGCAATTTTGCATATTTTGAGACATTTCTTTAGCAATTAGTTCAACCTCTAATAGTTTTAACATATTATAATGACAACATGAACACCAATACTTTTCAGCAGTGTTCATACTAGAAAGATTAGACAACATTCCATTAACCACAAATGTTTGAAGGATGTGAAGAGAGAATTAAGGGACACACCCATAATATGTGACAAACTATTCAGAAAGGGTCAGAAGCATCATAACATTTTCTGAGATCATATAGTCAGCAACACATAATATGGTAAGCAAATATTGGGAAAATTGTGCTATTATAGATTAAAAAATTATACCATTGACTTACAGCTGTCCAAACATTGACAAGGTTAGGTGCAATTGTGGATTTCTCTTGCTACTGAGGACTGAAGAGTTCTTTTTTGTACAGGAAATAAATCTCTTATTAATTAAATAGAGCCAGATTCCAAGAGCTTGACATAGTTGGTAGAGAGAGAGAGAAGGGGATGCCAGCTAGTCCGCATATCTGTGCAACATTCTTGGGTTGATCTTACCAGGACCCTTTGTCTTGCCTGTGTCGAGGGATTGAAAGAAGTGACTATATGCTATTGAGTAACTGCCACTGACAACTTTAATAGTACTTGAAGCAAGTTTTGTACTATATCTAGTTGCAATGGTTCCATCTTGTCTGTCTAGTGACGGTATTGTGTCCGAGGGCAGGTTAAAACCGGCAAGGTGCCGGTCTTTATCCAGGTACCATCAGACTAGTTCATTCATTCATTCACTAACTCATTCACACACTCGTTCCTTCCCTCTCTCTTTCTCTCTCTCTGACAGCTAAGGTTCATGGGAGGATCTTGAGCTCAGCGGTGCGGCGGTGACCTCTGCTGTGTTTCCTGAGGAGGACGAGGTCGTGCAAGGTGAGTCCCCGCCACGTGCGCAGGCCCTTCATCACGTGTAGGTTCTCGCAGGTGTCAACCAGCAGCTGCGCAGCAGTCAGGCCCAGCACGCAGTTGTACAGCTCCAGCACCTGTAGCAGAGAACACAATTAAACACTGATGACGATAAAATTGGTAATTCCCTAAAGAACAATTTGAATATGTTCAGAAATGTGATGAACACAATGAGAGTGAAATACTGACAATTTCTTCATGATCTCGGCCAACAAGACATGTAGGTTATTAATTAAATACTGTAAACCTTATAGACCTTGAAAAAAGGGCCAAACACTGCTCAGGAACAAAATCATAGAATTCAATGCCTATAAAGAAATGCAAAATACCTTTAGTACGGGCACTCTGTATAATATGGAGGACAAACCTAGAGACAGGTGACATCCCGCAGACTAGAAACTGCCAACATCGCCCCACTTCACAATGGAACTGTAGTTAAACCACTAGCATAAGAACGTCTACAGACTGGTCGCATAACATTACACATCATTAAGGGGTGTTGAGAGATGAAGAAATATGAAAACATTAAAAGGAGTACAGATTGCAAGACACAGTCAGATATCGTCATATATATAAAAACAAAAAAGAAAATCAAATACCCTGGAACAGTAATGTCAGAAGACTAATATGTACAGAACACAATAAAGGAGATAGAGAAACTGCCAAAAACATGATAGGGTGGATACTCAGAACATTCAGAACAAGGAATGGTAGGGAACAAATTCAACAGGAGCCTTGATGAGGGTTCGACCCTATGCACTGGGTGTTTCCAGGCGCGCTCTAGTCGACTGCACCACGACACGGTCATAGAATTGCAACCTGGAGTACTTTTGGTAAAACACTGGTGCTATCTTGTAAAGAATAATTGTTCAGACTTCACTTACGATTTCAAGGCATGCGTGATTACAGCGCTGGTGCCGGATTCATGAAGCAGTTACGCAAGCACTTACGAACCTGTCCATCTTTTCTCAATCTTTGGCGGCTTTGTTTACAATTATTAAACAGTTAATGAGCTCCGAAGCACCAGGAGGCTGTTTATAACAATAACAACAGTTGATTGGCAAGTTTTCATGCTTGTAAACTGTTCAATAAATGTAACCAAAGCCGTCAATGATTGAGGAAAGATGTACACGTTCGTAAGTGCTTGCGTAACTGCTTGGTGAATCTGGCCCATTGAGTCTGTAGGTTAGGTTAGGTAGAGTAGGTTTTTGGTAAGGATTGGACGTTGGATTCTTTACGTTGCAGCAAATCAAAAAGATGGGCTGACACATCAATGTCGTCGATCGGGACACCACTCTTTAGGGCGACCACATGTACAAAATATTTGATGGACATTTTTGAAAGAACAGACAAAATATATACTTTTAAGTTAGACCTGGATGTGTACCTCTAGGTGGGTCATCCTGTTGACTGCGAGCACCTGAAGAAAGTCGTTCTCGACGAGGGTGGTAGGGCGGCAGACCAGACGCCGCAGGAGCACACACTTCCTGAGGGCGGCCACCAGCCCTTGCCTCACCAGGGCGTAGTCCTTCGCCCACGCCTTCGGTCCCACGCCCGTCATGCAGTCCAGCTCCAGTACCTGCCGGGCAGGGTTACATTACCTCGTGAGAGATGGCGAGGTCTCTGTTGACCGCCCAGTTGGGTGGGTGTGGAGCAAGATTAAGATTGATGAGGATTAAGCCATCCAAAAGGTGGCACGGGCATGAATAGCCCGTAAGTGGTGGCCCTTTTGAGCCATTACCAGTATCAAGATCTGATACTGGAGATCTGTGGAGGTGCGACTGCACCCTGCGTGACGGGAGATGTCTCCCGTGAGCAAGATTAAGATTGATTGATGAAGATTAAGGTCACCCAAGAGGTGGCACGGGCACGAATAGCCCGTAAGAAAGAGGAGCAGCAAGATTAGTAACTGTGTGACTTACCATAGATGTAAAGTGCCTTGTATAGAGACTGTTATGAGCCTCTTGTTGAATCACTTGTGATATAAAAAGATTGTTGATAAGTACAGTATATGTATTTGAGTACATGGTGGGGTAATGGAATTGTCCTTGGTGGGGTAATGTTGTCCTTGGTGGGGTAATGGAATGTCCTTGGTGGGGTAATGTTGTCCTTGGTGGGGTAATGTTGTCCTTGGTGGGGTAATGGAATTGTCCTTGGTGGGGTAATGTTGTCCTTGGTGGGGTAATGTTGTCCTTGGTGGGGTAATGTTGTCCTTGGTGGGGTAATGGAATTGTCCTTGGTGGGGTAATGTTGTCCTTGGTGGGGTAATGGTCCTTGGTTAATGTCCTTGGTGGGGTAATGTTGTCCTTGGTGGGGTAATGTTGTCCTTGGTGGGGTAATGTTGTCCTGGTGGGGTAATGGGGTAATGTTGTCCTTGGTGGGGTAATGTTGTCCTTGGTGGGGTAATGTTGTCCTTGGTGGGGTAATGTTGTCCTTGGTGGGGTAATGTTGTCCTTGGTGGGGTAATGTTGTCCTTGGTGGGGTAATGTTGTCCTTGGTGGGGTAATGTTGTCCTTGGTGGGGTAATGTTGTCCCTGGTGGGGTAATGTTGTCCTTGGTGGGGTAATGTTGTCCCTGGTGGGGTAATGTTGTCCCTGGTGGGGTAATGTTGTCCCTGGTGGGGTAATGTTGTCCCTGGTGGGGTAATGTTGTCCTTGGTGGGGTAATGTTGTCCTTGGTGGGGTAATGTTGTCCTTGGTGGGGTAATGTTGTCCTTGGTGGGGTAATGTTGTCCTTGGTGGGGTAATGTTGTCCTTGGTGGGGTAATGTTGTCCTTGGTGGGGTAATGTTGTCCTTGGTGGGGTAATGTTGTCCTTGGTGGGGTAATGTTGTCCCTGGTGGGGTAATGTTGTCCTGGTGGGGTAATGTTGTCCTTGGTGGGGTAATGTTGTCCCTGGTGGGGTAATGTTGTCCTTGGTGGGGTAATGTTGTCCTTGGTGGGGTAATGTTGTCCTTGGTGGGGTAATGTTGTCCCTGGTGGGGTAATGTTGTCCCTGGTGGGGTAATGTTGTCCCTGGTGGGGTAATGTTGTCCCTGGTGGGGTAATGTTGTCCCTGGTGGGGTAATGTTGTCCATGGTGGGGTAATGTTGTCCCTGGTGGGGTAATGTTGTCCCTGGTGGGGTAATGTTGTCCCTGGTGGGGTAATGTTGTCCCTGGTGGGGTAATGGGGTTGTCCTTGGTGGGGTAATGTTGTCCTTGGTGGGGTAATGTTGTCCCTGGTGGGGTAATGTTGTCCTTGGTGGGGTAATGTTGTCCTTGGTGGGGTAATGTTGTCCTTGGTGGGGTAATGTTGTCCTTGGTGGGGTAATGTTGTCCTTGGTGGGGTAATGTTGTCCTTGGTGGGGTAATGTTGTCCTTGGTGGGGTAATGTTGTCCTTGGTGGGGTAATGTTGTCCTTGGTGGGGTAATGTTGTCCCTGGTGGGGTAATGTTGTCCCTGGTGGGGTAATGTTGTCCCTGGTGGGGTAATGTTGTCCCTGGTGGGGTAATGTTGTCCATGGTGGGTAATGGGGTTGTCCCTGGTGGGTAATGGGCTTGTCCCTGGTGGGGTAATGTTGTCCTTGGTGAGGTAATGGGGTTGTCCTTGGTGAGGTAATGGGCTTGTCCATGGTCGGGTAATAGGGGTACTAGTTCAAATTTGAATTTTAGTGGTAACGGACCTGGAGCCTGGCGAGGACGATGGAGTCCCTGGCGGTGAGGGCGGCCAGGGAGTCCCTGGCGGGGAGGGTGACGGCGGGGAGTGCCAGCTCCCGCAGGTGCGGGCAGCTTGCGGCCAGCACGCCCAGGTCCGCCTCCCAGAACACGTCACCCTCCACCCGCAGCGTCACCAGCTGCGGCCCCACCGCCCACGCATAATCGTACAACGCCGCAGGCGTCAGTAAGTACGGCTCCCGCACCGACAGCCGCAGGTGCCGCAGTCCGGGTAGGAGCCGCAGTTCGTTGATGGTCACGCCAGAGTAATTGATGATGGCGTTGATGCCAGAGAGGTCCGGACACGCGCGACGCAGCAGCTGCAGGCTGCCAACCGTCACGCAGCGGACGTTGACCTCCTGCAGCGCCGTCAGCGTCGTCTGCTCCGTCAGCTCCTCCATTATCTTGAGAGCCTCGATGACGTCAGTGGAGCCCAGGCTGGTGAGCTCCGGCACGCGCGTGAGGAGCGCGCACACGCCCTCCTGCGTCACGCTTGTGCCGCCCACGTCCAGGTGCCGCAGCCGCACCTCGTCCTCGCCGCCGCCGCCCCACCGCAGGTTGACGATGGTGCGGTTGACGCCCTCGTCGGTGACTCCCGCCGACCCTGACACGTCTAGGTGCGTCAGGTGACGGCAGTGACGTGTGAGGAGAGTGACGGCCTCGTCCGAGGCGTTGACGAGTCTGACGCGACACAGCCGCTTGCAGGTGCGGCAGAGGTCGGTGAAGATCCTCCTGACGACGTCCGTCAGCAGCGGCGGCATCGTCAGCACCAGGTGCGTCAGCCCATCGCCGTTGCGGAGAATGAGCTCAATGTCGAGAGGCCAGTCGGTGGGGTCGGGTCCGGGGCGGGGCAGCGTGACGTACACGGGCTCCAGCACCGTCAGCTCCGGCGTCAGCAGCACCAGGGCGCGGTTAATGGCGGGCAGCTCCCTGCTGCCGTGCTTCAGGTGCAGCCCGCCGGCCTTGAGGGCGTTGTGCACCATCACGGAGCGCACGTCCCGCGGCACGTCCTCCAGGAACCGCTGCACGGCGAACACCAGATGCTTGGGCACGTCGCGACGCAGCACATGTTGTACGCGCTCCAGCCAGAACTTGCAGCACATGTGTTTGAGAGATATGACGGTGGGCGGCACTGTGGGTGGCGGGGCGGCTTTGTAGGGCGCCAGCGGCAGTGCCTCCTGGTGCCGCGCCAGAGCCTGCGGCAGCCGCGGCACTAGCAGGTGCGGCACCGCCATCACCGATACTGTTGTCCTCCTCACCTCCGACTACGATAAGTCACATCTTGATGTATCGCAGTTAATCGCCGCCTCTTTTATACCACAGGCAACACAGTACCCAAACTCTGTAACACAGTACCCAACACTGCCCGAAGACTGCAATACAGTACCCAACACTGCCCGAAGACTACAACACAGGCAACACAGTACCCAACACTGCAACACAGTACCCAACACCGCAACAATTCAAACTGCACAACAGTCCTGAAACACCACAACACGATCACAACACTGCAGGCGGCTGGTCGACCTGGACCCGGGGTCGGTGGCCCCCACCCTGTATCCTAGGGAAAGGCGCGCATGTAAGGGGAAGACGAGGGTCCCAGTAAGACAGGTGTGAGGGAGGTGACCACCACAGTGTACCGTGAGGGGGACGTGCCTTCACCACCAATACTGAGCGACTGCTGGAGTAAATATAACACAGCCAAGAGGAGGGGGGGGGGGGGAGGGACAAAGGGGGTGCCAAGATAGGTGCCACATTGCCCTGGGAGGGGCAGAAGGGTATACCCGGAAGTACTAGCTTGGTTGTGCTTGTGGGAGTTGAGCTCTGGCTCTTTGGTCCCGCCTCTCAACTGTCGATCAACAACAGTGGTAAGGTGCAGAAGGGTATCTGGGAGAGGAGGAGGGGGGCAGGAAGGGTACCTGGGAGAGGAGGAGGGGGGCAGGAAGGGTACCTGGGAGAGGAGGGGGGCAGGAAGGGTACCTGGGAGAGGAGGGGGGCAGGAAGGGTACCTGGGAGAGGAGGGGGGCAGGAAGGGTACCTGGGAGAGGACGGGGGGCAGGAAGGGTACCTGGGAGAGGACGGGGGGGAAGGGTACCTGGGAGAGGAGGGGGGCAGGAAGGGTACCTGGGAGAGGAGGGGGGGCAGGAAGGGTACCTGGGAGAGGAGGGGGGCAGGAAGGGTACCTGGGAGAGGAGGGGGGCAGGAAGGGTACCTGGGAGAGGAGGGGGGGCAGGAAGGGTACCTGGGAGAGGAGGGAGGGCTCCTTGAGACCATTATTCAGCTTAGCATTATCATGCTCAAGATAATTCTCAAGTACGTGTTCATAGTCATATTCTACATATTAATTAAAAGACATGCAGTGCATGGTTTAAAAAAAAAATCTTGAAAGTAAAAACCGGCCGCGACCTTGCCAGGATTCGAACCTGGAATCTTCTGATCCGTAGTCAGACGCGTTATCCGTTGCGCCACAAGGCCATGTGGAACTATATTAATTGTCTTATCTTAATTATTTTCTCTCGCGTAATAATGATATATTTAATTTTATTTGTCATTTTAGTTAGTGCAGGATAAACATATCAATTGTGACACTAGCTCTCCACATATGTCAGTTGCTTAATTTAGAAACTGTACTTGTGGTCGATCTCGAACCCATTGTTGATGTGACAAGTTATACTGAATTTTGTAACTAGCTCATCAAGATTGTAACTTGCTTAGCTAACTAAATGAATTGTGGGGTTCAGTCCCTGAGCCCATTATGTGCCTCTGTAACCCTTTCCACTACCGCCCACAAGATGGGTATGGGGTACATAATAAATGAACTGAAAAAAATAAGAATAAAAGTGCAAAAGTATTTTAATTCTTGGTTACCTAGACTAAGAGCTCTCGATCCTTCCATGGCCTCAGTGTTTGCGGGCTAAGGGCTCACGTTGATTCTGAAAGAACTGTTCGCGTGTATATTCTGCAGACAAACATCGTAAAAAAAACATGCAGTGTATCGCTTTAAAAATTATGTACACGTCAGGTGCGACCTGGTCAGGATTCGAACCTGGAATACTGATTACTAGGCATCCTGCAGATTTTGAAGACTATGTGGAGTTGCGCTCTGGTTGTCAAGGCTGAAGTGTCCTCACCAGGGCGCAATTAAGGCCTAGAGAGGTCGATATGGAGAAGCCGTTACCCATGCAGCAGGTCTTCCCCTTCTCCACGTTGCTAAAATTGTCCAATGGAAAGGCAAACGCCAATACGCTTAAGTTCCAGCGCCGTCGCAGGAGCTGCTAGAATGAGGTCGAAGTCAACAACGAACTGCCTTAGCGGCTCCAACTCCGGATTTTCCTCGAGGTTGACTCCTGAAGCCCGTTCCAAAAGTGGGTATGGCCGCGAGGCAGCGGAGGTTTGAGGTCTGATTATAGACATTATGTCAATTATCTTTGTTCTATCTTCCCTAAAAATGTTCCTTTTTCTTACATCCAACGATTGGAGAGTGTTGAACATGCTGCTATGGCGGTGTGTCCACTCACAGGATGGAGGGAAGGAAACTATCAGCAGAAAGGGCCAAGCCATTAGGCCTATACTGTGTAGCACTTGGAAGGGGTGAGGATAAAGATGTGGGATGGAACGGGGGGGAAGGAATGGTACCCAACCACTTGGACGTTTGGGGATTGAACGCCGACCTGCATGAAGCGAGACCCCTCGCTCTACCGCCAAGTGGTTGGGCAGTGGCACTGCCCAATAAACTCGCCCCTCGGGGAAAGGTAAATTAAAATTATCCAACGATTATTGGTGACTTCTATCCATTTTGCTTTCTATTTCTTGTGTGAGCAGTCTGTGCTTACCTATTGACTGTGATGATCGACTTCCTTAAACACTTACTGAATTCTTTCCGTTTTTCTCTGACCATTTATGCATAGGTTGGTTTTGTTTAGTAGTTTATTGTGTCGGGGGACAGGCAGCCAGAGTGTATTTATACGCATTAGGCTTATATCTATGGCTGTACCTAAGCCATATTACTTTACCAATGTAATCTTAGATATCATCTGATATCATGGTTGTTGAAGTGAGTGGATATTCTACTGCATTATTCCTTGTAATGATCCTAATATTGTGCTTCAGTGAAGCAATGTATAACCCTGAAATGTTATCCTCATGTACCTAGTAATCCTTGTTCATTATTGTGTATTATTCTAATCTGCTGATGTCAAAATGTTCTTACAATGTACCTGTAAACATTTTTGGTCAATTTTACTATAATTAATCTACTTACAATTATCGGTACCTGTAAAGCTGTAAAGTTTCTGTAAACGTTTTCCGGTGAATTATCTAAAATTATCTGTTAGTTGAAGGACTTGCCCAAAACGCTATGCGCGCTAGTGGCTTTACAAGAATGTAAATCAACTTAATTTCCTCAGAATGTTTGGTAATATGTTTATTGTTTGTGATGTGTGTCTATGTATGTATTAACACGATGTACTGAACGGGGTGAGAATAGCTTGAGCTACCTCATCCCTTTGTGTGTATTTTACATCAATAAACTTATTTCAATTTCAATTTCAATTTCAACTTAATTTCCGTGTTCTGTGTTAACTCCCCAATGTACCTTCTTGTATATAAATACCGAGCGGACAGCACGCTGGACTTGTGATCCTGTGGTCCCGGGTTCGATCCCGGGCGACGGCGAGAAACAATGGGCAGAGTTTCTTTCACCCTATGCCCCTGTTACCTAGCAGTAAATGGGTACCTGGGTGTTAGTCAGCTGTCACGGGCTGCTTCCTGGGGGTGGAGGCCTGGTCGAGAACTGGGCCGCGGGGACACTAAAGCCCCGAAATCATCTCAAGATAACCCCCCTCCCCAACCCCTCGAGGATCCAACACCACAAGAAGCTGATACGACTCCTCTGTACCTACTTATTGTTAGGTGAACAGATGCATTAGGAGACAGGAAATGCGCCCAACTGTCCAATTCTTTCGTCCTTGCCCGAAACGCTATGCGTGTTAGTGGCTTTGTAAGCCTGTAAGAACACCAATGTTATGTACTCTCACAATCCAAAGTAGCTTCTTGTATATATCTGCAGTCCCCGTGGCGCAGTGGTAAGACACTCGCCCGGCGATTAGCGAGCGTTTTGGCCTTGGTTCGTATTCTGGCCGGGGACGATTGACTGGGCGCCAATCCTTAACTGGTGCCTCTGTTCATCCAGCAGTGGTTGGGTACCTGGTTGGTAAAGGATTTGGCGGATCAGAACCATCATAGCCGAAGGTTCAGACTTCCTAGAACTTGTTGACCAGACCACACACTAGAAGGTGAAAGGACGACGACGTTTCGGTCCGTCCTGGACCATTCTCAAGTCGATTGTCTCAAGTCACAATCGACTTGAGAATGGTCCAGGACGGACCGAAACGTCGTCGTCCCTTCACTTTCTAAGTGTGTGGTCTGGTCAACATACTTCAGCCACGTTATTGGGACTCATCGGCTTCCTAGATCTTGGACCATCTTGTGGACGGAGACTTGAGAAAGTCGGTTCTTACTCCAGGCAGGACTGACATGGGCATCGACGGTCTGTTTTAAATGAATTCCCAATGTCCTCGGGAAAAAGTCCCCGGCCTTTTTTTTTGTTAAACAAGGTGTGGAGAGCGTGGTTAGTGAGCATTTATAAAAAAACAAAAGGTTTGCATTTCCAGTTTGATAGAGGAATACATTATGCACCTAATTGTCATTTTAAATCAGCAGCAGCTTTGTCCAAACTCAGCAGAAAAATCATCATTTTGCGTTCAAGGGCAACGCATATGATTTGGGTTGGCAGTAAACGCCAAATCTTGTGATGTTGGCAGCGTGTTGGGTCCTCTGATAGGTTAGGTGGGCAGGAAATTCTCATAAAGTTTCAAAACGTTATGAAAAACGTTAATTTGAAGTGTCCTCTTATAACCTCTGTGCGTAAGCCGGACGACTCAAATAGAAAACGGGACAGTACGTCACTTTTGTGAGTCGATTTCATTTCAAATTACGTCCAAATTTGGTCATAGCGCCGCGCATACGGGCGAAAAGTGACGTTATTTTTAAGAGGACGGATTGCACAACAACGTTCGGCATATCTGCAGCAAAGTTCGTGCCTTGTGTGGCATTCCTACCATGGCATAATCTGTAGCCACGTATCTTTATTGTAAAGAATCATTGGATTTTGTGTTGACCAGACCACACACTAGAAGGTGAAGTGACGACGACGTTTCGGTCCGTCCTGGACCATTCTCAAGTCGATTGTGGTCCAGGACGGACCGAAACGTCGTCGTCCCTTCACCTTCTAATGTGTGGTTTGGTCAACATACTTCAGCCACGTTATTGTGACTCATCGCCTGCATTGGATTTTGTCCTTGAATGTTTTTCACTTGGACTGGACGGTAGACCAACGGTCTCGCTTAATTCTTGCAGGTCGGCGTTCAGTTCCAGACTGTCCAAGTGGTTAGGCACCATTCCTTTCCTCCGTCCAATGCCAAATGCATAATCCTGACCCCCTTCCAAGTGCTATATAGTCGTATAAGTTTAGCCGTTCTCCTGATAATTACCATACCTTAATTTTTGAAAATGTTCAGCGAATATGTTGTTGTTGCTATAGTTGTAGATTCAGCAACTCAAACCAAAAGTTGCAAGTAGCACGGGCTATGGTGAGCCCGTTGTGGACTTACCTGGCAGAGAAGCGGGGTTGTAACTTTAGCGAATAGTAAATTTAAGTGAATATTTGGGATCTCTAGTGATTTTGGTGTGTTTAAAGATAATTAGAGAGAAAAAGATGATGGTTTCCTTTAAAAATTCCAGAAAGAGACAGACTCAAGTAATAATCAAAAGAATGCACCAAGCTGGGGATACTATGTAGCATAATCCGTGCCT